AAGTGAGATTCATGTTACCTATTTTAAGTTTTATTATTAGTTGATAATTGGTAGAATAAATTAAAATAAAATTTTTAAAAACTACATAACTAATTATTTTGTATTAATTTTTTAGTTTTTAACTTTACTATTGAAATTTAATTCTTGCATGTTCTTGCCATTTAATTATAAAATTGATATAGGCTTAATAGCCTAGAAGTTACATACTAATATATTTTAAAGTCTATTATTCAAGAGTCATTAAGATGGTGTCTATAAAACAAGGTGGATGTTTTGGATAGAAGATAGATAGTTTTACCATCTTTTCTATATGCTCATCTTCCACCAAGTGTTGCTATTCTTTCTACATATTTCTTTTTGTCTATTATTACAGTTGTATACCTACAAATATATGGTATTAGTTTACTTCGGGCAATTTCGATTCGAGTCAGATTCATCCTTCCTTTTAATGAGCGTGATCATTGAGGAGGTGCTGCTGCGAGAGTCTGGGTTAGATCTTGGAGTCGCTGGTGTCCGTCAGTACTCTCATGCAAGGAGACTCAGCTGCTTTAGGACAGTGTTCACACGACTCTTTGACTTGCAGACCAACTCTTTCTAATTTGTAATATCTATTTTATTCTATTTTAAGTTCATTATTATTTTGTGTTTGTTTATGTGATATTGATATGAATTTAGCATTAAAATTATATATAATTATGTTAATTTCCCCAACAGTAATATCATGTCACTTTGCATTGAGTATTTTATCTTGATGAAAAAATATTCATTGCAACGATAATATTACGTCAGCATTGTCACTTGTTATCACTAACCAATAGTATGCAAACACATAAGAGAGTGAACCTTATATAAACTAATAATTATTTGTCCATGTAAACAAATAATAACAACTCAAATGAGGTTCACCTTATCCATTTAAGATTTTATTATTGATTATTGATACTATGTCATTAATACTAACATGATATCACCGTTATATTTAATATTTTCTTCATTTACGAGGAAGTGGGGGTAAAAGTGGTTAAGATAGCTGATAAGAAGTTCTTAGGAAGTTACCATGATAAAAATGAATGTTTGAAAATTTTATTGTAAAAATTAAAGTTTTTATTGTTAGGGACCTATAGAAAGAAGCCACAAAATATTCAAAATATTTTGAAAATAAAAATCTAAAAAATTAGAATGGGAAGAAAATATTCATTACAGCGGTGATACCACATAACAATGTGATGTATCACCAACTAATAATATTAAGATAAATAAGTAAATGAACCCCACAAAAAATAATAACCAATATGTTATGTAAACAAATAACTCTTCACTCTTTCTCCATGTAAATCTAAGTGAGGTTCATTTTACCCACTAGAAATTTTATTATTAGTTAGTGAAACTATATTTTCAATGGTGACATGACATCACCATTACATTGAATATTTACTGAGGCTAGAGGGTGGGACGGTTAGGGGGAGAGAAAAGAGAGAGAAAAGGGGGGAGATATGTGAGAGAAACATGGTTAGTGGAATTTGAAATGAAGTAAAATAGTTAATAAGAATTATCCAATTAAACAATTGTGTTATTTAAAAAGTTGTTAAACTGACCAATAAGGTGAGGCCACATGAAGTTGTTAAATGAAAATATTCAAAAACACATGANAATGAAAAAAGTAAAAGAAAAAATGCATGCCGAAATAAGAAAAAGAAAGAAGCAGATCGATACAAGAAAAAAAACAAAAAAAAGAACAAAACAAGGAAAAAACATAAAGAAAGAAGCAAATCGAAACAAAAAGGAANGAGATCGGAGACTTGAGAGGATTTGTAGATACATTCACATAGAATATAAAGATATAAAGATTAGTTTAGATGGGTTGTTTGGGAGAAAAAAATATTGGACGTAACTATTACATTACGTCAACAATGTCACGTGGTGAAAACGGACCACACTAAAACGTATAACCACTAAACCATGTAACACATAATTAACTACTTGTATGATAGGAAAAAAACAAAAATGATAAAATAGGACTCACTGGTGGGGAAGGGGGGAGGGGGAGGGGGTTAGATTTTTCCTTGGTCTTTAATGTCGGATGATGTAGGGTTTTCTATGTATGATCAAGTTTTCCGAGAGTTGTTGGAGTAAAGAAATTTTAGTTAATACTGCAGTGGTTAGGTCTATGCTTGTTTAAACTGGGAAAATCTAGTTGTGTTGAACTAACATGGGTGGGTGTTATATTAGAGTCATATGGTTTAAGTTTTAGACTCGTATTGTGTAGAGTTGGAGTTGTGTGGTGTGTTAAAATTACCACACAAAGAGTGACTATATTTAGCACGAAAGTGTTACATGCCTCCTCACCATTAATACATTTAAACATCATAATTATTAAGAGCTTGCTTGCTTAACTCTACGTTAAAATACCCAAAATGTAAAACCTGATAACAAAAGTAAATTGCAAACCAAGACAAGTAATCTGAGAGGTTTAGTTTGCAAACGAAGGTAGTTAAAACTTGAACTTCAAAACTTCTTAATCACATTTATATGGGCAATCAGGCTGCCTTGACTTGTAGGCATTGGAGTACTTTTTAGCACATATTTTTATGAATTCTTTATCTTAAAAGCTTTCTAAACATATGGGTTTTTTTTTTTTTTTCCAATATCTCTAAACACTCTCTCTGTTTTCGTAAGTGAAGTGTTGAGTCTATTTACTCAACCAGTATTATGTCTGCTGAAATTTCTAGAATTGAGAAAAAATATCGTTTCAATCAGAATACACATTTCTTTTCGGCTTTAACTTATTTTAAGGTTCCTACAATAAATTGAGCAAATTTTATTTTTGTGGGCTTGATGTTTCTTTGGATTTGTTCGGCCTAAGTTACAAAATCATTTGTTCTGTTTTTTAAATGCACAAAATCATTGGTCCAAGGAATATTGAATTAGCAACTTGATTTAATACATCCAGTTTCCAATAGTAATCTCAACTATTTGAGATCCTTTTTATGAATTTTATTCCGTTATTGTATTCTATCTCAACAATTATATTTTCTATTACTAATATATTATTTTATTTGGAATTTATTCTAATTTATATATATATATAGGTGGGGCTATTCTCACCCCTACAAATTTCTATTCTCGCTCCATTTAATTTTTCATTATTAAACTACTAAATCCATCCCATTAGTAACTAAACTAACCTTATACTACATACACTCCATTAATAGTTAAGTTCACTCATTCTATGTATACTCTTTTAGTGAAATAAGTTATTGTAAGAAAAAAAATAATGAAAGAAGACAATTAGTTTGAATGCGTAAATATATTTATGAAACAAGAAAAAAAATAACCAAAAATGAAAAAAGTAAAAGAAAAAATGCATGCCGAAATAAGAAAAAGAAAGAAGCAGATCGATACAAGAAAAAAAACAAAAAAAAGAACAAAACAAGGAAAAAACATAAAGAAAGAAGCAAATCGAAACAAAAAGGAAAAAAAAACAAACAAAGATTATAGGAACAAACAAAACTACAAGACGCAAAATCGAATTTGAAAAAAAAAAACAAACATCAAACACAGACACAAAATTGAACAAGAAAAAAAATAACACGTATAGATGCAAAACTTTAACAAAATAAAAAACAACAAATAATATGAAAGCATGCATATATATACACACATATAAAATTTAAATAAAAATTATTAAACTTGACAGAGATATCAAAACAATACTGAAAATAATAAAAATTTATATAACAAACATGAAATTAAACATAAAATTAAATTGAGAAATATATTAACCTGTATCTTACTTAAAAAATTCATATTGAAAAATGTATTTTTGTGAGTATATGAGGTGAAATAGAGAATGAAGCTCTAATTATGACAAAATATAAAGTTGATTTTACTTATTAAAGGGGGTATATGTAGCATAAAGTGAACTTAGTTAGTAATAAGATAGAAGATGTGGGGTTAATAGTTTGATAATGAAAAATTAAATGGAGATGAGAATAGAGATTTGTCAGGTGAAAATAGTCTTATCCTTTATCTTTACCACTTTTATTACCATCGAACTCACATAAACTCCAAAAATTTCTTAATTCCTTATTTCATTCGAGAGTAATGTTATTGAGAACTAATTTATTGATATAATTTGATAATCTAATTCACTGTGACATTTGGATTTAGTGTAGACTCTATTAAATATTAAATTTTCATGTCTCCTATGAAACTACATTATTATATTAACAAATTAAGTCAAATTTTTATGTTTAAATAGTATGAGTCTTCATTCAGAGTTTCCAACAACAATAGAATCCAAAAATTGGCGAGATTGACTATGCTTGAACAATACTAGAAATCTAAAATTTAGGATTCCTACCGGCCTTTGGATAAATGGTTCCTGTTAATTTTTTTCAATATGATTTTTTTTATCCGAGGATTAGTACGACAATTACACTGAAAAAAATGTAAGGCTGCAGCATCCATATAACCCACACACACCTTAAAAAATATGTAAGGTTTAATTTGTTTGTCTCTNACGACAATTACACTGAAAAAAATGTAAGGCTGCAACATCCATATAACCCACACACACCTTAAAAAATATGTAAGGTTTAATTTGTTTCTCTGTCCTATTCCCACACGGATTCTATTATGTCTGCAAATGCCCAGCCCAGGCCCAAATGTAGCTTAACCTTCCCAACACCAGCCTAGCCCATTGGGTTGGTTCCAAGGATCAGAAAGCTTTTTATTCGCGTTTCCAAACGCTTCAATAGTTATTATGTGGCCCCTTCTAGGGTTAAGATAGTGCAATCCCAGTTCAGGATAATCTCATATCCACCATTCCAAAGCTCACTAGAAACCCTAAAACGCGAAAAGAAGTCTAATTCGCAGGCGTACACGACAGAGAGAGAGAGAGAGAGAGCTCATATTCGCGCTCGAAACCTTAAAAGTATATTCGCTCTTCGTCAACAATCGGATCTCTCTGGTCTTTAGGGTTAGGGTAAAGCGTTAGTATGGCGATGGAAGAGATTACGGAGGGAGTGAACAATATGAACATCTCTGATTTTCACAAGAAGAACCGCATTCAAGTCTCCAATACCAAGAAACCTCTCTACTTCTACGTCAATCTTGCCAAAGTATCACCTAATACAAACTCTCTGTATATATACATTCAAGAAATTTAAATGTGTAGTTGTTGATTGTTCTTCTTTTACACTACTTTGTATTAAGTCCTTTTTTTGTTTCAAAATTAGCTTCTTCTTTTTTTGTGACCTTACATGTTCTTAATCTGTTTTTCCGTCGATTTTGTTTAACTCACTCTTACCTAGCATTTTAGTTTTTATTTCGCTTTTCTTTTTTAATTAGATTTTTGTGGCCTTGTCTTGTATAATGTTTTGGATTTTTCATTGCGGTGCAGAGGTACATGCGGCAACACAATGAAGTGGAGCTTTCAGCACTTGGAATGGGTATCATCTTCTTAATCATCATAATCTCATAAATTTTCGTTTCCGCGAACTCGCACACATTTATGGATATTTGTTTTTTCTAATGGTTATGGATATATACTCATAAATTCTCTTATTGTAATGTTTTTTAAATCTGGAAGAACTGACTCATCTGCTATGTGAAAAGCAATTATTGGAGGAAATTAAGTGAAGAAATTGTGTTACCCTGTTATTAGCTTGAATGTTTTGTCGACAAATATGCTAGTTTAATTTTGTTTTCTTTTTCTCCCAACATATTTGGGAAGCATGTTGCTTATTCACATGGACCACTAATTGTATGATTTCTCATGCCACTTGAGACTCTAGTCTATATCAGTGGTGTAACAATCTTGAGCAGAATGTTGAAACTAGGTCGTTCATAAAGGTTGTTGATGGAGACAGCTATTGGATTTGGGAATCAGATCAACATTTTTTTTGCTTATTATGGGTGCATGAGTCATGATTTAGCTTCAGATTATGTAAAATGTGAACCTAACCATCAACCCACAAACAAAAAGCTTCCTTTTTTCATATTTTTTTGTGCCATTCAATTATTAGTGCAGAAGTGTTCATATTCTCTTTCTGATATGGCACTGCAGCAATTGCCACAGTTGTCACAGTTGCAGAAATTCTGAAAAACAATGGTTTGGCTGTTGAGAAGAGTGAGTTTCTGGACATTTGCTGTAGTCCTTCCTGTCTTCCTGATTTCTCATTGAAATTCAACCTCCATATGTGGGGTTACAGATAATTAGTGAATGTTAAATTTGATTTTTCCCCAATCAAAACACACAGAAATTATGACATCTACTGTGGACATGAAGGATGAATCAAGGGGAAGACCTGTCCAGAAAGCCAAGGTAGGCTACACTTCAATATTTTTGATGAAGCCGCAGGCATTCCAACTCTAAATATTATGTTATTCTTCCAGGAGCTTTCTTACAGTGCACATTGAGTTCCATGTGCATGTTGAAGTTGTAATTTGTTATTAATTTTTAAGATTATATGTCTGGAAACTACCTTCCAAAGTCCGAACTACTAAATCTTCCATAGTTTCCACCCTAGAAGTACAACTATGGGTGGTTGGAACCCCCCACACCCCCACAAAAAGAAGATGAAGAAGAAGCTGCCAAATGACGCTGCGTTTAACCCCCTTATTCTATGTATACCCAATTCCATATGGATGTCGTTAATAGAGTTGACCAAATAATGCTAATGCCGTTGGTAGAATCAGTATTATGTGTGAAATAGGTCGATTCTGTTGTGTATTTGTAACATTTGGATGGAGGGTATTATGGTGGAAAAAAATTGTTTCAGTTGTCATGTGCTAGTTACACCCCCACAAAAAGAAGATGAAGAAGAAGCTGCCAAATGACGCCGCGGTTAACCCCCTTGTTCTATGTATACCCAATTCCATATGGATGTCGTTAATAGAGTTGACCAAATAATGCTAATGCCGTTGGTAGAATCAGTATTATGTGTGAAATAGGTCGATTCTGTTGTGTATTTGTAACATTTGGATGGAGGGTATTATGGTGGAAAAAAATTGTTTCAGTTGTCATGTGCTAGTTACACCCCCACAAAAAGAAGATGAAGAAGAAGCTGCCAAATGACGCCGCGGTTAACCCCCTTGTTCTATGTATACCCAATTCCATATGGATGTCGTTAATAGAGTTGACCAAATAATGCTAATGCCGTTGGTAGAATCAGTATTATGTGTGAAATAGGTCGATTCTGTTGTGTATTTGTAACATTTGGATGGAGGGTATTATGGTGGAAAAAAATTGTTTCAGTTGTCATGTGCTAGTTACACCCCCACAAAAAGAAGATGAAGAAGAAGCTGCCAAATGACGCCGCGGTTAACCCCCTTGTTCTATGTATACCCAATTCCATATGGATGTCGTTAATAGAATTGACCAAATAATGCTAATGCCGTTGGTAGAATCAGTATTATGTGTGAAATAGGTCGATTCTGTTGTGTATTTGTAACATTTGGATGGAGGGTATTATGGTGGAAAAAAATTGTTTCAGTTGTCATGTGCTAGTTACACCCCCACAAAAAGAAGATGAAGAAGAAGCTGCCAAATGACGCCGCGGTTAACCCCCTTGTTCTATGTATACCCAATTCCATATGGATGTCGTTAATAGAGTTGACCAAATAATGCTAATGCCGTTGGTAGAATCAGTATTATGTGTGAAATAGGTCGATTCTGTTGTGTATTTGTAACATTTGGATGGAGGGTATTATGGTGGAAAAAAATTGTTTCAGTTGTCATGTGCTAGTTACACCCCCACAAAAAGAAGATGAAGAAGAAGCTGCCAAATGACGCCGCGGTTAACCCCCTTGTTCTATGTATACCCAATTCCATATGGATGTCGTTAATAGAATTGACCAAATAATGCTAATGCCGTTGGTAGAATCAGTATGATGTGTGAAATAGTTCGATTCTGTTGTGTATTTGTAACATTTGGATGGAGGGTATTATGGTGGAAAAAATTTGTTTCAGTTGTCATGTGCTAGTTACACAACTCATTTCCATTATCATCGGACAGAACCCAAGGGAAGGGGATTTAAGTTTTGAGTACATACAGCCTTCACGCCTTTTTAGTTCAAGGTGATACAATGCCAAATGGGCATAGTACACGGTTGTTTACGGNTCGGACAGAACCCAAGGGAAGGGGATTTAAGTTTTGAGTACATACAGCCTTCACGCTTTTTTAGTTCAAGGTGATACAATGCCAAATGGGCATAGTACACGGTTGTTTACTGNATGATAAAATAGGACTCACTGGTGGGGAAGGGGGGAGGGGGAGGGGGTTAGATTTTTCCTTGGTCTTTAATGTCGGATGATGTAGGGTTTTCTATGTATGATCAAGTTTTCCGAGAGTTGTTGGAGTAAAGAAATTTTAGTTAATACTGCAGTGGTTAGGTCTATGCTTGTTTAAACTGGGAAAATCTAGTTGTGTTGAACTAACATGGGTGGGTGTTATATTAGAGTCATATGGTTTAAGTTTTAGACTCGTATTGTGTAGAGTTGGAGTTGTGTGGTGTGTTAAAATTACCACACAAAGAGTGACTATATTTAGCACGAAAGTGTTACATGCCTCCTCACCATTAATACATTTAAACATCATAATTATTAAGAGCTTGCTTGCTTAACTCTACGTTAAAATACCCAAAATGTAAAACCTGATAACAAAAGTAAATTGCAAACCAAGACAAGTAATCTGAGAGGTTTAGTTTGCAAACGAAGGTAGTTAAAACTTGAACTTCAAAACTTCTTAATCACATTTATATGGGCAATCAGGCTGCCTTGACTTGTAGGCATTGGAGTACTTTTTAGCACATATTTTTATGAATTCTTTATCTTAAAAGCTTTCTAAACATATGGGTTTTTTTTTTTTTTTCCAATATCTCTAAACACTCTCTCTGTTTTCGTAAGTGAAGTGTTGAGTCTATTTACTCAACCAGTATTATGTCTGCTGAAATTTCTAGAATTGAGAAAAAATATCGTTTCAATCAGAATACACATTTCTTTTCGGCTTTAACTTATTTTAAGGTTCCTACAATAAATTGAGCAAATTTTATTTNTGCAAGTGTTCGGAGAAATTGTGGAAAATGTCAACTCACTCCGAAAGAGGCTGCTTTCATCCTTCAAGCTCTTTCCATTCCGACAAACATAAATATATATTTGGCAGCTGCACTCAGTCCCACCAGGCAAGCTAGTTTGCTTAGCAGCATAAAATCATCTTATGTTGCTGAATCGTATATCACCTATAAGAAAAAAATTATTAGCAATGCAATACTCAAACATCAAATGATCCTTCTTGTTCATCAGGCATAAGCTTCCCNTTCCATTCCGACAAACATAAATATATATTTGGCAGCTGCACTCAGTCCCACCAGGCAAGCTAGTTTGCTTAGCAGCATAAAATCATCTTATGTTGCTGAATCGTATATCACCTATAAGAAACAAATTATTAGCAATGCAATACTCAAACATCAAATGATCCTTCTTGTTCATCAGGCATAAGCTTCCCTTTAACTTTCATGACCTTTGACTCAGCTAAGGTTTTAGTTGACATGGAAGACTTGACGCTGGCAACATTATAGCGGCTGTTTGTAGAGACAGAGGCATGGTAAAAGGTGATATTGATACCTTGGGGTGGCAACAGCTCATGGTTTGTGATCCCTGCGAGTATTTAGCTCATTTTCGCCAGACTTGTGTAGCAGAAAGAGCAAGTTTCAAGCTTTTGATCTTTTTCTTGTTCTCTCTGATATCTCTTAAAGATGCTAATCCTAATGGAAACAAAGAAGATCAGTCCCCACCGGATGAGCTACTTGTTGCAGTCAGTGAAGGGTTTTGTACTGGTGCTGCATGCAGAAAGCAACGTGGATTGACCTCCCCCTGCCATCATGGCAAACAAGGCAAGGATCACAGATGTCTAAGTGATGGATTTCTGTAGAATTCTCGCAGCCAAACCACTTCTCATGTTCCCTTGTACTCTTGCAGTAGCGTCACCTCTAATGCGAAAAATCAATATTAAATATATACACCATAAGTTATCGATTCGNATGTCTAAGTGATGGATTTCTGTAGAATTCTCGCAGCCAAACCACTTCTCATGTTCTCTTGTACTCTTGCAGTAGCGTCACCTCTAATGCGAAAAATCAATATTAAATATATACACCATAAGTTATCGATTTGTTCTTGTTGAAACAAATACAATAGAAACAGAACACTACAAGCAAAATGCTTATATTTCCATCCTTAAACTTGGTGCTTGCATCTATTGCAGGATTGAGAAAGCCATGCCGCACAATTGTCATTTGAGAGCAGGAAACAACAAATTAAAGCATACAAAAGCTGAGGCTTAGAAAAGAAAGAGAGGAAAACTTTCCTTGTGGAATTTCACAATAAAGACATCAATCGATCGTCAAGATAGATGATTCAGATGATGAGTAGCAGCTGGTAGGCTGACTTATTCCACTAAACTATTAAAGTTAAAAGAGAGAGGAATACTTCACCATGGGACAAATGCATGGCTCCCTCTAAAATTATTGTATACGAATCTTTCAGATGATGAGTAGCAGCTGGTAGGCTGACTTATTCCACTAAACTATTAAAGTTAAAAGAGAAAGGAATACTTCACCATGGGACAAATGCATGGCTCCCTCTAAAATTATTGTACACGAATCTTTCAACTGAAAAAGAAAAGAAAAGAANTCGATTCTGTTGTGTATTTGTAACATTTGGATGGAGGGTATTATGGTGGAAAAAATTTGTTTCAGTTGTCATGTGCTAGTTACACAACTCATTTCCATTATCATCGGACAGAACCCAAGGGAAGGGGATTTAAGTTTTGAGTACATACAGCCTTCACGCCTTTTTAGTTCAAGGTGATACAATGCCAAATGGGCATAGTACACGGTTGTTTACTGCAACTCCCAGCCCCCTTCTCCTCCTTTCCCCTTACTCTTTTTTTCTGCTGTTTTGCAAATATGGAGTATTAGGTTTTACCTTCCTCTGGACCTCCTGCGAGAAGTTTTAACGTTTGCTAATTTTTGTATTTCAGATTGAGATAATACTGGGGAAGACAGCAAACTTTGATGAGTTAATGGCTGCTGCACAAGAGGAGAGGGAGATGCGAAATGAGGAACAAAGCTGAGGGGAGAATTTGTCACGATTTGTTATTGTATTTTGATTTGCTTGTAGTTACAAATTCACTGTTGCTCAGTTTTCTTAGTTTCATTTTCTTCATTTCATGCTCCTAGGACACGTTCATTGCGACAGTTTTACTAGTTTGGGGTAGTGATTTTCCCCCTGTTTCTGTCGAAAGTTTCCATTTGGTTATTTCTTGTTCTTTCATCCTTTTCATTTCCAGTTTTCAAAACAACAATATGTGAACCATCAAGGCATAGATGGTAATTTGTGGCCAACCACCTACCTGGGACTCTCGAATCCTGAGCAAACTGCCAATTACAAGCTAAATAGTTTTTGATAACCGTATGTAAGATAGTCCAATTACTCAGNAAAACAACAATATGTGAACCATCAAGGCATAGATGGTAATTTGTGGCCAACCACCTGCCTGGGACTCTCGAATCCTGAGCAAACTGCCAATTACAAGCTAAATAGTTTTTGATAACCGTATGTAAGATAGTCCAATTACTCGGTGGCGACATTTCCATCCGCAGAAATAAACAGAGGCAAATCAAATTCCATCAGAACTTTCCAAGCACCAGTAGCATAAATACTCAACTTGAGCAATTGATAGCATTTTGTTTCAGGTGAGAGGGCTATGTTTTTTTTTTGGATGAGGCACTGGTGGCTTGCATATACTTAGCTGCCAGCAACCTTCACCTCGTCGTACGGGGGCTTTCGCCAGAGTTCACAGTGGTCTATTATCTTTCCAGATTGAGTTGATAGGGGCTTCACATGATGAATGGAATGGTTTGGTTGGACAAGAAAAAGTATAGTCTAAAACTCTTTGATATGAATTTTGACTTGGAATTCGAAGAATAAAATCAAGACAAAAAGGTTAAAAGACAATCTTATAGGAATCCACTTTATGCAAAGGCTGCCCTTTGTCAAGCTTGTTACAATGCACTCCGCCTTATTAGAGCCTTGGAGAAGAAAGGCTTAGAGCTTCTACAAGCCATACCAAAATCCTTTCTCTCACTTCATCTTCGGTTTGAATCTGACATGGTAGCTTACAGTCAATGTGGGTATTCTAGTCTCTCTCTTGCTTCCATGGAAGCTATAGAGGCTGCACAAGGGGATCGCAAACCCTGGACCGGAGAAGCTGCAAGTGTTCGGAGAAATTGTGGAAAATGTCAACTCACTCCGAAAGAGGCTGCTTTCATCCTTCAAGCTCTTTCCATTCCGACAAACAGAAATATATATTTGGCAGCTGCACTCAGTCCCACCAGGCAAGCTAGTTTGCTTAGCAGCATAAAATCATCTTATGTTGCTGAATCGTATATCACCTATAAGAAAAAAATTATTAGCAATGCAATACTCAAACATCAAATGATCCTTCTTGTTCATCAGGCATAAGCTTCCCTTTAACTTTCATGACCTTTGACTCAGCTAAGGTTTTAGTTGACATGGAAGACTTGACGCTGGCAACATTATAGCGGCTGTTTGTAGAGACAGAGGCATGGTAAAAGGTGATATTGATACCTTGGGGTGGCAACAGCTCATGGTTTGTGATCCCTGCGAGTATTTAGCTCATTTTCGCCAGACTTGTGTAGCAGAAAGAGCAAGTTTCAAGCTTTTGATCTTTTTCTTGTTCTCTCTGATATCTCTTAAAGATGCTAATCCTAATGGAAACAAAGAAGATCAGTCCCCACCGGATGAGCTACTTGTTGCAGTCAGTGAAGGGTTTTGTACTGGTGCTGCATGCAGAAAGCAACGTGGATTGACCTCTCCCTGCCATCATGACAAACAAGGCAAGGATCACAGATGTCTAAGTGATGGATTTCTGTAGAATTCTCGCAGCCAAACCACTTCTCATGTTCTCTTGTACTCTTGCAGTAGCGTCACCTCTAATGCGAAAAATCAATATTAAATATATACACCATAAGTTATCGATTTGTTCTTGTTGAAACAAATACAATAGAAACAGAACACTACAAGCAAAATGCTTATATTTCCATCCTTAAACTTGGTGCTTGCATCTATTGCAGGATTGAGAAAGCCATGCCGCACAATTGTCATTTGAGAGCAGGAAACAACAAATTAAAGCATACAAAAGCTGAGGCTTAGAAAAGAAAAAGAGGAAAATTTTCCTTGTGGAATTTCACAATAAAGACATCAATCGATCGTCAAGATAGATGATTCAGATGATGAGTAGCAGCTGGTAGGCTGACTTATTCCACTAAACTATTAAAGTTAAAAGAGAGAGGAATACTTCACCATGGGACAAATGCATGGCTCCCTCTAAAATTATTGTATACGAATCTTTCAGATGATGAGTAGCAGCTGGTAGGCTGACTTATTCCACTAAACTATTAAAGTTAAAAGAGAAAGGAATACTTCACCATGGGACAAATGCATGGCTCCCTCTAAAATTATTGTACACGAATCTTTCAACTGAAAAAGAAAAGAAAAGAATGCCATATAAAGTGATGTTGTAATAGAGCAGAATCATAAGACAAGGCTCTAGGGCCTCCAAACATTCTAGTGTCTTCTATTTTTTCCCAATTTGTATAAATATGATGTAGAGTTCTCCAAGAAATTAACAAGTTGAATGAACAAGTTAACTATATCCAGGAAGTAGACAAACAAGCAAGCGGAGGCGCTTCAACCTTCAACGCATGCTTCAATTACTTTGCAGCATGAGGCACTACATTTTAGATATACCGTTTCACAAAGACAGTGAAGGGGAGAAAACAAAAAAACTTTTCTTAGTCAAATAATTAACAAGAAAACCAGTTTTTCGGTACATAAATCCGAAGCATAATCATGTTCAATTCAGCATCTTGCAAATAAATTTACTGTTTTATGGCAAGCCAAATTGCAGCTTATGTACTACTATCTGTTTTTTGTTGCAGTTTGCATGGGAACCACCTGCATGAAGCAATAAATTCAGAATGACAGATGGCTTCTGTTGACTAATCAACAATAAAGAACATTGTACAGAGAAAAATTCACCCACCATGATTTATGCCTTAACTTATGGCAACAGCAAATATAGTCAGATGTAACCCTGCATTGGCCCTCGCAACCTAAATAATAACCATTATGAAGTAGCATGAGAGCTCCACAAATTGAATTCTGGTGGCAGCCCTTCCATTTCATATAAGACCCTGGTCTGTACATAAGATTGAACAAGAGATAAATGAGTTTTCTACTTCCCCTGAGTTGCCGAAACTTTACGATCATCCACTTCTTGAATGTCAGACTTGCAATCTTCAAGCAAAGTATGCAAAATTAGAGAAGCCTCAGAAGTTGCTCCCTGAGGTAGGTACTTGTCTAAAATCAATGAGTATTTTAAAGCAACATAAAGCTCTTGCTCATTCAAGTTGCATGAGAAAATGTTCCTCCAGTCCTTTGATCGTCCTTCCATGCAAATACCATGTAGCAAGGCAGCAAAGGTGATAGAATCAGAAAGACAGCCCTTACTTAAAATATTATCACTCAACTGCAAGGCGGTTTTAAGCATTCCATGTAGGCAAAGGTAGACAAGGATTGAGTTATATGCAGCAACCCGTGGAATCCAGCCATCTGATATCATTCTTCCAAACAAATCCAGAAACATAGACTTCTTGTGCTCATGAGACTCGTCTCCTTTCTCAGATACTGCTTTGGGCACATTATTTGAAAATCCATTCACCAAATAATGAAAAGTAACATCATTGGGATTGCATTTACACATCAGCATTTGTTCGAAAAAGGAGGCCGCTTTTGCTAGTTTACCTTCCTTACAGAAGTTACCTATCAGTATAGAGTAAGTGACAACATTAGGAATTAAACCATGGGATTGCATCTCCCTAAATAAATTTTCAGCTCCACTGGAGTCTCCCTTGTGGCAAAACCCATTAATCAATGAGGTATATGTAACCACATTTGGCTTGCAGTTTCGTTTCACCATTTGCGTAAACATCCTCAATGCACTAGTTATGTCGTGCTGCTTAACGTATCCATCTATAATTGTGGAGTAAGTGAATTCATCAGGAGAAATATGCCGCTTCATCATTCTATTGAAGCATGAGATCGCGTCCTTCATCATCCCAAATTTACAATAGCCCTTAATCATGGTGTTGTAACCCACAACCCCAGGATTCATTCCCCTTTCAATTGTGTGCTCAAAGAGTTTCTTTGCCTCATCAAGGTCACCATTTCGGATGAATCCATCCACTAAAGTAGCATAAATAAATGCATCGGGTAGCACATGTTGGTCAAGCATCTCAACAAGCAGCTGCTTGGCATCAGGCAGCCTCCCCTTCTTGCATAGTCCACTGATCAAAACATTGTACATAGCTGCATCAGGCGACAATCCCCTTTCCATCATTCGGCCCCGAATTGTTAATGCAACATCAACCTCACCCGCAACAAGAAGCCCATGAACAAGAGCTCCATACGTTACCAGGTCAGCTTTTTGTCCCCTTTTTGTCATCTCAAAAAGCAAGTTTATGGCCTTGTTAAAATCCCCCAGTCTGCTGTACACATGTATAAGAGGAGTATAACTCAATTTATTCGGCACCAGTCCCTTCTTCATTGCCTGCTCTAGAAACCGCTCAGCTTCCTGGACCTGCCCTTCCTTGCATGAACCAGAAATCAAAGTATTATATGTCACAATATCTGCCTCGCATCCATTCTCAATCATCTGTCTAGTGATCTCCACTGCTTTCACCATGCAACGATGCCTACATTGAGCGTCAATAATGTTATTATAAACATTAACATTAACTTTCAAACCCCTCGAATTCATTTCCTTCAAAAGCCTATCAGCTGCCTTGAAATTCCCTTCCTTGCAAAACCCCTTAATCATAGCCCCATAAGTCTCCACCGTAGGCAGAAACCCTTTCAACTTCAACTCTTTAAAAAACCCATAAGCTCTTTCAACATCACCTTTCCTGCAATACCCATCGATGAGTATAGTGTAAAACACAACATTAGGAATACAATCCTGTCCCCACCTATCCTCGATCAACTTTCTACCTTCCTCAACCTTTCCTTCTTTACACAACCCGCTCACCAATATACAAGTACTATAATTATCCACACTACAATTTTGACTACCGTCATCTCTTTGAATCATTTCATCATAGATCTGCCTCGCTGTTTCAGTTCGGCAATCCTTTATAAGCATATTAAGCAAAGAATTGCAAGCAAANCACACTACAATTTTGACTACCGTCATCTCTTTGAATCATTTCATCATAGATCTGCCGCGCTGTTTCAGTTCGGCAATCCTTTATAAGCGCATCAAGCAAAGAATTGCAAGCATACACATTAGGAACAAAACCATAAGTTTTAGCTACAAATGAGTACAGTTCAAGAGCTTTATCAACCAAACCAGAATCTGAATAAGCCTGAATGATCAAATCCAGTGCCTCACGGGTCGGCAATTTCTCTTCACATTTCATACTATCCAACAAAATTTCGATCTCCGGAAACACTTTAGACTTGGCCAATAACTTCAAAAGAGATGAATAAGCAAACACATCAAGAGAACAACCGTAGGGTCGATGAGCGACCCAATCAAAAAACTTTAAACCCAATTCGGCGTCACGAATTTTCTCGAACACCAAGTAGGCAATGTCTGATGGGACTATTTCTTCTTCGGAGAGTCGGGTTTCGAGATTATGTTCCCACTGATTTTGGGTTCCGAGAATTTCACAGACCTCGTTGATGAGTTTTTTGATGTGGGATGTAATGGGAAAGTTTGCAGAAGAATCGGGTTTGGAATTGCGTAGGGTGGTTTTGGTGCGTAGGAGTAGGGTTTTCGACATGTGACGGAGAAACTGATGAGATAGATGGGGAGTGGGAGAGGGTATTGACACCGGTGAACTTTCAATTTTTCTGGATAAATAAATAAAATTTACATTAAATGATCGAGCTTCAATGCACAAGACATTATGGGTTGTGCCTATAAAATCAACAAAAACAGTGTAACTGTTGGAAGCTCTCTCTGTCGTAAGGGGAATTTGGTCGGGGTGGAGGTGCCACCCTTTTCCAGCAAATTCCAACGTAAGACAAAAGAAGTATCAACAAGCTTACAACCACCGATACATTGAAGAAGACAAACATCAGATCAATTCAGACATATGCTCGCCCGTTGATAATATGTGAACTTCAAATATTTTTGTACTTAATCCTCCGTTTGTTATACGGTATGGAGAAGAGGAACGATAGAAAAAAGCACGAATAATACACTTTTTCTTGTAATAAATAAAAATATATAATTTTTTTTATACCGGCTAAGATTAATGGTGACAATCAAATTACGTCGTGTTAGATTCGTTTTGAGTCACAAAATTATGAGTATTTTATATTTTTTGTTCGTGTGTCAGATCATTTTCAAGTTCGTGCCGATTTATAATCAAGTTCGTTTCTTAAAATTCGTGTCAAGTTCGAGTCGTATTGAATCGAAAATTTTATCCCTAGTTAAGATAAAAAAATATTTTTTTTTAATTTAAATTTTTTATTTTTATTTTTAAAGTTTTTTTAATATATATATAAATACATATTTTATCATTGTATTTTTATATGAAATTAATGTATACATAATATATAGACAAATAAGATATATTTTAACACAAATAATTAAATTTCCATTAATTTTCCTTTCTTGTGATTCTGTCGCACACATACTGTCTATCCTTTGAATTTATATTTACTACATACTATATAAATTAATTTAGAAGAGAGAGTACTTATGAAACTTTTTCTCATCAAGTATTAGATTTTTAATTCTAAATTATTTAATAACAGTACATTTTCATCAAACTAAGTCATTCAATATGGATTATGTAATTACTCCCACAAAACTAGTCTATTTTATCCTCCCTTAATGCTCCGTTTTATATGATAAAAAAAATAAAAAGATGAAAAATTGGATAAATAAAACATCATATTTGGTAAGGAAGAAAAATATGAAGGATATAAAAGTGAATGAATTAATTTTCCTTCTAACTCACCAAAATTAATCCCTCCAAAATCAGAAGAAAAGTGGATGCAAAATTAATTATTTGTATTGGGATGTATCTTATTTATCTATATATTATGTATACATTAATTTCATATAAAAATACAATGATAAAATATGTATGTGTGTGTGTATATATATATATATATTAAAAATAAAAAAAAAATAAAAAAAATATTTTTTCAGGTTAAAGTTGGGGTAAAAATTTTCGACTTGACACGAATTTTATGACACGAACTTAATTATAACTCGACATAAACTTGAAAATGATTTGACATATGAACAAAAAATATAAAAGGCTCATAATTTTATGACTCTACGAATCTGACACGACACGACTCGATTGTCATCCCTAATATTATACAAAAACAAATTAAAAAAAAATTGTTATTTTTATTTTCTATTCATCCAACCAAATACAAATGAAGGAAAATGCATCATTCCTACTTTCTATCTTTGAAAGATAAAAAGTGTAACCCTTCTACTTTTTATCTTTTTTACCAAACGGAAGATTAGGGTTGGGTGGGAATGTGAGATGAGGGGTGATAATAGGGGGTGTGGGATGATTTGGCGGTGATAGAATTGTAAGGGAAGAGATTGAAAATAAAGTATATCATACAAGACACCACCACTTGATACATACACTGAAGTTACACGTGTCTACTGCCTTGATGGTTATTACAGTTGAATATATATACAAATTAATAAAAACAACTAACAAGCATTGAACGTGGGCCTAAGGTATCAAACAATCTACAACAGGATTTGTCAAGCTAGATGTTCCATGAGCATTCAAGCATGAAGAGGAAGTGATATGGGTCGGATCATCAATCGACGTTATGTCGATATTGTTAAGCACAATGTTGGTGCAGCCCGCGGTCTCACTGCAACTAAGTTTGATTGCAACATCTGTGCTCGACGTCCCGCGAACGTTAGTGTAAAAAACATCGCTTATCTGAACAGCCAATGTCTTTCACAAGGTGTGGTAAAAACAGAAAGAAAAATAAATTTTTTGTCAACAATGAACAAACAATAACAACGTAAAAAGAATACGAAAACTGAGCCTCCCATTATTCTTGTAATTACTTAAATTGTTTTCACGTTTCCTCTGTATTAACTGTGGAAGAAAAATTCGTATGTGTTATATGTTTTTGAGACAAAATAAAAAAAATTCACATAGTTTGAAAAATAACGAGGTAAAACATTTTATTCGAATTGTAACAAACATTAACAAATGTGACAATCTAAAATCAATTATCAAATAATATAAGAAACGTAACATTTGAACGAACAATGACATTGGAATATAGTAGTGAGAGTTAAAGTATAAATTTTCCTTCCGTAAAAATTTATAATATAACACAAGACAGACTTTAATAAATTCATCCGACGGTTTCAAATAGATTCATTCAACGACCACTAACATTTTTCTCAAAATTATTCACATTGTACCGTGTTTTCAAGTATGAATTATCTTTAGCGTCTTATTAAGTTAAAACCGATAGATAGAGAGAGAGATCATTTTTCTTACTTGATTTTTGCAATTGGGAGTGGAAATGCAATAGTATTGGTCAATTAAGATTGGGGTGCCTGCCGCAACCAGTGTAATATCCTCAAAGGAGATATGCCTAGCATATTCAGACCCACCCTAGAAAAATGTCACAAGGCACTTCAACAAACTTAATCAGTTTCACCATATCCAAATTTAAAGATTAAAATTTTGTTTTGCCTGGGGACTCGAACCCAAATCTTCTACGAATCCCCCCACGAATCAGCAAAAACCGTAGTTTCATCCAGCAGTAGTTTATTTCTAACACCCCTTTACTAGATCATACGAATAAAACTCTTCGGATTTATCAGGCGATGTAGACGATATTACAACCATATTGTATTATCGTCCGCTATCCCCAACTGTGCATGTTTTTGGTTTGTTCAAAAACTGAAATGTTCTGAAAGCTTGCTGAAACAGAAAAAAAATTTGACAAATTGGTTTTAAAACATTGGAATTTTAATTTTGAAACCTTCGAAAATATAAGAATTTCAATATCCATCGTAGATCTTATTTATGATCCTTGTCGTCCTTTGAACTACATTACCTGCCAAGTTTTGATCCTCGCTGCAAACATGGTTCCTGTAAAACTACAATTTTTCACATGTACTTCTTCAACAGTGTCACTCATTCCATTGGCTCCCAAGCTTCCAATGCTACAAGAAACATTTTTCAACCTTAGTTTTATAATACCCAGTTGGATGACTTTGCAAACACAATTTTTATGAAAAGGAAAAAAAAAAGAATTGCAAACTATATGAAGATTTTCAAGAAAACAAACCTTATACCATGTCCTGGTCCGCATTCTATCCCAGTTACATTGATATAAGTAGATTCTCCACCAATTGCTATACAATCATCGCCTATACATGTTCAATCGAAAGGAATGTTTATGTTCGATAAAATTCCATTTTATACAGAATAAAAATAAAGGGATGAGTGCGAAGGAAATGAAATTGAATAAATCGGGACAAAAATGTACACATACCAGTTGCGATAATGGAATCATGAATTTCTATATGATCTGATTTGCCTATATTGATGCCATCGGTGGTGGGGCTTAAATCAGGGGCGATTATATGAAGATTAGAGATGGTTAAACCGGTGCAGCCAACTATGTTTATATGGTCTCTGGGGCTGTTGATATGTGTTAATCCACTAAGTTGAAGGTTGTCACAATCATATAAACCCAATCCCTAGTCACCACCAAAAACAAACATCTCTCACTTAGTACTTCAATTGTTAGATCAACAAGTTATTGTATGAGGTTTTGAAGAGTAATTGAGAGATATAACTTACAGTGGGTCTTACAAAATTCATCTTCTGGACAAAGTAATCATGTGTTAGAGCTTGTTGAAAAAAATAATAAAAAAAAAGGAAGAAAAAAAGAGGAAATAAAATTAAGAAATCCAACTGAGATTGTTGGTTTTAAGTGTGTCTTCTACCCACGCTTGAATCATCAAGTTGATTGTATTGATCCCACCAAACTGAGCCTTGCCCGTCGATTCGCCCTGTTCCATCGATAACAAGGCCACTGATTTTCGAGAAGGCAAGCCAATTATGCAGGTCAAGACTAGTCCATGATCTAGGGTCGCTTGGTGCTACTATATTGCCATCAATCTACAATCATATTGACATAAACTGACAATCTCACGTTACAAAACTATGACAAACGTCATGTTAAAATGGCAATAGTGTTGACATGACATCATATAACGAGGGATGAGATTAGGAGTTCGATTTTAGGTGTATGAACTTACTTGAACATTGATGTTTGGGGAAGTACATGGACCTTGAAATGTTGTAGGACTCAGTAAGAATGTGTAGCCCTCTGGTATGCATAAGACTGGAGTGCCTATGGCAGCTCTGCAAGCAGCTGCCCATGCTTGAAGAAAAGCCTTAGGCATATCCAGATGTGAAAGTTGGACATGTTAGATCTTCAATGCATACATAAAAAAAAACAGGGAATACAAAACAGGAAAAGCGGTCTTTGTAGTGTACTTTCTTAAAAGAAAAATACTCAACAGAGCTCAAAACACGCTAGACAGAAGCTCACCAAGCCTTGTCTGAACATTTTCTATATCGAGAAGAAAAAATATGTTGGCATACTAATATACTTCAGTATTGAGAGTATAGTATGTTTATCAAAATTGGACTTTTGACAATTCTATGTCTTTATTTATGAATATGGTGCTTTCATGGAATCCAAACGAGGATACTATTCGTGATACTGAACATAATTTCTTAATTACTAAAATAGTAAGTGCCAATGTGCCATGCCCAAAAAATTATGCACCTTGGAGAAATGCCATAGCTAGATAGGTAGGCCAATCAAGAGGATGCACATGCTTGAAATAATTCTCCGTTATGTAAGAAAACTAATTAACAGAAAACTTTGTATAAACTGTAACTCTATGCAACAAATAGTTTGGTGTAAGGACTTTACATGGGAATCATCTGCTATTCCATCCCCAATAGCTCCATAATCAAGTACACTAAAAGTATTACATTCAGGTAGTTCATCTGTGTTACTGCTTCCTCCCAAGCCAGCCATGCATAAAACCAAGAATATGATAAGAAGTTCCTGCATATGGTAGACGTAAGACAGCTTATCACTTTTCAATTTTTCAGAACAATGCAGTACCAAAACAATGGTAAAAGGAAGGGTCGAAATGCTCTTGTAGTGTTTTTTAAATGTAAGATCGACTTTCAGACAAGCCTCGAATTTGACATTTTTTTTGTTGGTTGCAAAATTAGCAGCTTGAGATATTGCTTTGGCAGTCTCAAAACCAACAAAAAAAAAATAAAAAATTGAATGACAACATTGAAAATTATATCTGTGCTGTATAGTTGTGAAGATTTTTAAAAAATGTTTAGATGTTCAGAACTAGAGAGTTGAGATACATACCATCATTACGTGAAGCATTTGAATGAATTTCTATAACTGTAGAAGATAATGCTGACTTATACATAGCACTAAGATTTCATGGCTTTTGAAGAAATTGAGCCATGCTTGTGAGAAAGGTATAATAAACCCTGCATTGATGGAGGATTAATTTGAGGAGGAAGACCATATCAAGCGTAATGAATACGATATATGCTTGATAAATCCTCTATTTTTCAATTTGCATGCATGTTTTTAAAGATCTGGTCATGCCACTCAATTTTCCCCAACAGTCTGTTACACCAGGCGTGTTTAGTGCTGAGATTGAAGACCATTATTGATATGGATCAGTTTGGAATCCATCTTATTCACTGTATTAATCGTACTCATGATACATTATGGGAATAATATACCAAATTAACCTTCTTTTGTTGAAAATGGCAGAGAATCTAGCTTATGCATATTGGATAAAGCATCATTGAAAACAATCAATAGGCTTTAATGGAGATTATATGGGATTTATACCAGGTAAGAAAGATCATTAAGTTAATTTTACAATTATTTTATAACAGTCTTATGAATGGAATGTTTAGTGCTACATGGTTTATAACAGATGCTGAGACCAATTTTTTTTTTTTAATCGGTAAGATAGAATATCTTTGCGCATGTCATGTAGTGCCTAATGCATTCTTGACCACAGGCTATTTGAATGATATCAACTTGCCATCGTTTAAGCTAATAATTATTGATCAAAAGGGCATAAAGGGAGTAATTTATGTCAGATTAGACTGCATGTATATTATGCAAAGTCGTGTGTTCCTGAAGAAATGTATATCAGACCTCCTCTAGTGCAGTGACTCTTATGGAAACTTACAATCAGTAAATATTTGATAAAAGAAGAACATGCTAAGTTAAGAATTCTCTCAGTTCATAAATTTTGTCTCCCACAATTATAAATCATTGCCCCCTAGAGGGTTTGCTGTACATCTTAAAGTGAATTCTTGATGCATATGGAAATAGGGGAATAAGAAGACTCTTTGCCGGAATAATATGCTTTGCCTTCTACAATACCAACTCAGCGCAGATTGTAGTTCCTAGTAATAGAGGCTTGATATGAACATCTCTAAAAAGGTCATTTTCAGTGCACAATGAGTTATAGTGGAGTCTAGGGTAGATATGCTGTATGCAATCTTATCACCTTTTCAAGAGGCTAATTCTTGGAAACGTCTCTTTTATGGGGAAAAAAAACAATATCGTCCTCATGACACTGGTGGAGTGTATTTACTATCAAACGCTTGTGTTCAAATTTCTTAAGGGGTATGGAAGGTACTAAAGTCCATAGCATTTTCCAGCTTGGCCATTTATTAGCATAAATGTGGAGAAGAAGAATATTTATTATACACCTAAAAGATGAAAAGAAGTTAGGAAATGGCCATCTCAAACTTCAAGTTCATTGTAAGAGACACGACGCAGGCTGTACAATTCCTTTAGCATGTCCATAGGCATTGTTGCAGCTTGAGTTGACTNTTATACACCTAAAAGATGAAAAGAAGTTAGGAAATGGCCATCTCAAACTTCAAGTTTATTGTAAGAGACATGACGCAGGCTGTACAATTCCTTTAGCATGTCCATAGGCATTGTTGCAGCTTGAGTTGACTTTGTATCCTGGAGTTGATGATGCCAATTGAATTGTGTCAAACAAAATCTTGGTGCAGGGAACAGCGTCGCTGCAGTTGAGGTTGATCGCAAGTTTGGTCTTTGAGGTTCCAAACGTCCCAGAGTAGCGAACATCGCTTACATGAACTCCTGTTTTCTTTAACAAGCATACCAAACTCAAAACTTAGATTCAACTAATGTCTAATAGTAGAACTTCATAAACTCTGTTCACATATCTAGCTCTTAATTGGTCAGAAACTTTATATACCCTCCAAATTACATAATATTTGAAGTGAAACTATGAGAATGACACTTAAGAACAAAAAAGGTACTAAAAACGGTTTCACAATAGCAGTATTACTAAAGATGATTTTACAATTTCTGTTTTCCTTTATGGTCAAAAGAAAATATGAATCTCCATAACCAGACATCTCCGAAAAACAAAATAAACCATATATTAGGTTCTGGCTGTAGGTTTGTTTTCTTACTGTGGGTTTGCAGCCATTTCTGACATCACAGTGGTGTTGGTCAATAAATNTTTTACAATTTCTGTTTTCCTTTATGGTCAAAAGAAAATATGAATCTCCATAACCATACATCTCCGAAAAACAAAATAAACCATATATTAGGTTCTGGCTGTAGGTTTGTTTTCTTACTGTGGGTTTGCAGCAATTTCTGACATCACAGTGGTGTTGGTCAATAAATATAGGATTTTTCACATCTGTGAAGTTCAAATTTTGGTATGTCGAACATAACCTCTCCCAGCCTACGAAAACAAATTAATATTAGTATATGAGGATTAATCTTCTCTGTTAGAACATGAGAACTAGGAAGTAACTATCATGCAAATGACAGAACCATCTGAATAGTATAAAAATGGTCCATAGACCGGCTGTAAAGATGGATTAATTCGGGTTCTCTAAACTATTACCTGCCATGTCTTGATCCTTGCTCTATTGGTTGTATTGTAGAAATGGACACGAGTCATGGTAATGTTCTCTACTTGGACCTCATTTCCACTCCTCCCTAAACTTCCAATACTATCACCATGGATCACCACTAAATATTTCATATTTGAACTTTAGGGCCAAATACATAAATCAAAAATGTTTACACAGAAGAAAATGGTATGTCAATTCTTGGCCAAGCATGCATAGTTCTGGTTTTATATCATTCCCCTTTATAGTTGAAGTCTTGAAGAGTTACTTGGAAAAAAAAGGCTGGATCATTATGCTTAAACAAAATTTTCAGGGGATATTAGAATTTGGCCAAATGCAACAATGTTCTTTCCATCTGTTAGCAGAAGAAATCACCTACCTCACACCATGGCCAGGTCCACAACTAACGTCAGTGATGTAAATATTTGAAGTTTGGTCTCCAATTGATATACAATCATCACCTATAATCTCCATTGAGAATAACTGAACTATTTTAGGTTCAAATTCTAAATTAAGTTAGGAATGATTTGAGAGGTTAGGATATGGGGAGATTCCTGATTACTACCCTAAAACACACAATGATAACAGTATAAAGTCCTTTAAAAGGGTGAAGGATTTACCCGAGCCAATGTTTGTGCTATCAATAGACACTCTACGAGATCTGCTAATATGAATCCCATCTGTGTTAGGGCTTGATGCAGGAGAATTTATGCTCAGGAATTTAAAATTGACACCATAGCATCCTGATACCCCGACATGAGTTTGAGGGCTATTTACAAAAGAGATGTTGTTCATATAAACCTTGGTACAATTTATGAAACTGAGCACCTGCAGAGCATGGTATAGAAAACCGAAAAATATGTTGCAACCGTTTTTAGCAATGAAAAGTATTGCGTCAAATCAAAATCAAATTATTTATTTAAGTGAGAAAAAAATAAGCCACAATATATAAAGCAATATATTGAATAAAATATTAAACTTACCATTGGTGCAAGCTTGATGCACCCCTGTTTAAGATGTGAAAACTGATTAGCAATTTTGCATCTAGATAGATGCAATGATGCAAGAAAGGAAGCCAATAAACTTGGACTCCACAATGCTTTAGGTGCCTCTAACTGAGGATGTAACGCGCATGAGATATCCCACCATCCCTTACCACGTCCCTCTATCGTACCAGAACCACTTATGTTAAGCCCCTTCACACCCTGAAAGATTAGTAACCAGCCTGGGTTTTTTCCCTTCCATGCATCAGGACTTTCAGGACCTAAAATTGTGCCCGATAGCTGTCAACAGTAAAGGATAAAGAGGACTGAAGGCATTTAGACAGCTTGGTTAAGTACTCATGAGTGAATGTGGTAGCTCACCTAGCTAAGTTACTGCAAAATTCTAGTAAAAAGAAGTGCAGAACAAAGGATATCGATCAAACTACATAATTTGTCTTACCAGAATGTTCACATTCTTGGGCTTGCAAGGACCAGCCCAAGTTATGAGATGAACCAGAAATGTCTTTCCCTGAGGTATAACCATAGTAACACTCTCTGTGTCTGCATTACATGTGCTTTCCCAAGTCTTTGCAAATGCCTAGTATTATGTCAAAGAACAGAAAAAAAATTTAAGAAGGATCCTTACACAAAAAATTGAGATATTTCAAGCAGCAGACTTTCTCATTCACTAAAGAAAAACAAGGAAAAAAAAAATGATTAACAACGTATCGTATGTGATGCCATCGCCAACTGCTTCATAATTGAGAACATTAAATATACTCTGACCAGCAATGGATTCACTAGGAATATACATTGCAGAAACCATGCTCAACAAGAGTGTGAGGCTGGCAACGTTGCCCTGCAAGTAAACAGTGAGACAGAAAATACAAATCATTCTTTTTCCCAGAAGAAATATCAGCCAAAATCCATACTGGAATGTGAAGTGACATTTTTGTTGTACCAAGAAAAAGTATAGTGAGAATAACATTGTTTGTAGCACAAAAGGGTGAAAAATAAGTCAAGTGTCAGTAGAATTTTGTAACCTCAAAGAGAAATGCAGGGTATATTTAAAGTGATGTCTTTGACTCTATTAAGGAATGAAAATGATTTCTTAATTCTCATATCCAAGTTGTCTGATATTCATACCTGTTGAAGTTAAAATTATTTGAATGGCATATGCTGCCTAATAAAATGGTTCAATCTTAAATTGGATGTTCGCCTTGAGAACATGATAACAAGGGTAAAAAATTGTTTTTTTATCTCTCAATNTATTCATACCTGTTGAAGTTAAAATTATTTGAATGGCATATGCTGCCTAATAAAATAGTTCAATCTTAAATTGGATGTTCGCCTTGAGAACATGATAACAAGGGTAAAAAATTGTTTTTTTATCTCTCAGTCGCTGAAAATAGTTTTCTTTCTTTTTTCTTTTTGGATATATCTAGCTTGCTGAGAGAGAGAGAGAGATTTGTGGGATAAAAATGTTTATTCAAAAGCTTGACAAGATTTAGTAATTAAATGTAGCAATAGTAAAAGGATCAAAATTAGGTGATGTGGCATTTAAGATTTGATGAAATTCAAAATATAAGACACAACACACACACACACACACATATTCTAGTACATGTTCGGTTCGGATTAGTTTACCAAACTAAAACCAGCCAGAAACAATGCATGTACGAGGTGTCTTCTTTTGTTCTGTTCTCTGATCACCCAAGACCAAAGCAGCATCCCTAGTCAGTGTGCAGAAGTGCAGAACCATGTGCTTGTTCTTCTCCATTTTGGTAATTCTCGAGTGGACAACATTAATCACATCATAATCTCGTAGCCCACAAGTACCAAATGATTCTTGGCAAAGAATGGACGGCCCGCTGCGTTGTTTCCTTCATATTTTCTTATTTTTTCCCCCCGATAGTTTTTAGTTTGTATCATATTTATCGTGTTAAAAATGTCTCAACTCGTACTCCACCTATAAATATATATATATAGATCATGTCTTCAAACCAAATTTAAATACAGCAGGTGCAAATTCCAACCCCATTATGTTGCTCCGAAGACATTTACAAAAGAAAAAGAAAAAGAAAAAATAAAGCCGTAGATAACATCACAGGAGATAAGAACCTACGTTAAAATCATTACTGCAACAAAGAATAATAGGACTGTTCAACCCCGGTGGTGAGGTAAAAAGAAACCCACACCCACCAAAAAGAAAAACAGAACGATCCTATTCTGAAACAGAAATCATACTACGATCATAAATAAAAAGCTCAGAGGTCAATCCAACTCGTAACCTAGTATTTTGCCTCAGTCCATCCTAACTACAAATACAAATACTTGCCGGTTTAAAAGCCAGTGATCCAGAGAGAGAGAGAGTTATACAGCTTAAAAGCAGCAAGTAACATAAAATCTCTCGTTTTCTGTTCCTAATCCCGAATCTCAATATTGTACATTAAAAAACTGCAACTACAAGATGAAACATTCTGATGCCTATTGAGAACACTTCCCCATTCCTACTCCGAGCTTCTTTCATGCTGGAACTTCCACGCCATCAAAAACAGCATATCCATCAAGATGGCACTACATACATCAAAAGAAACAGAAATAAAAGCACTTAAGACTAAAGATAGGACCAATAGCAAAAGCAAAAAAGCAAGTCCTAAGAAACACCAGGCAATCAATTAGACAACAACAATTTTCTCAGTAATGTACACAGTCAAGAGATCAACCAGGTGATGATATCAACCATTCAAAATCCAAACAAGATATGTTCAACCCTGACCAGTAGCTCCTAAGCTCTAATGAGATTCCAAAATCTCTAGATGGAGTATGGCTAGGTCCCTAAGCAATCACTTAGTGGAAAAGGAAGTGATCGAGCGATGACAGCCAGGAGCATATGCCAGTGTGTGGGTGGTTTTTTCTTTTCTTGGTGTGTAATTGGGGGACCAGCTGTTGGCAGAAAATTAAGACATTCCACAACTGAAATAATAAAGTAAAGCAATAGCATTAGCTAGCAGGAGAGTTCATACTATATGTAGAAGTGTCAATTTGCTCCGGAAGTTCCTTTATATCAACCTCAAACCTCGCCTGAACCTGTAAGAAATGACAAGTCCAAGATTAATGGTTAGGACAATTAACAAAACATAAGAGATAGTGTAGATGGTAATATCGATTGCCAAACTAACAAGTTACCTGATTAAGAACATCAGAGTCGGACGCAGAAGAGACAAACGTAATAGCAAGCCCTTTGGTACCAAACCTACCAGCTCTGCCCACCTGTATAGTTTTGAAGTCCAGGGAGAAATAGGGTCAGCTGCAATACTGAAATTAAGATGGGCATTAATATATGCAGGTAGTCAACACAAGTACACAAATGGGTCCTACCCTGTGCAGGTAAGTGTCAGCAGAATCCGGCATGTCATAGTTGATAACAATATTGACACGCTCAATATCAATACCTCTTCCAACCAAATCGGTTGCGACAAGGATCCTTTTATGACCCTCCTTGAAACCTTTGTAACGTGTCAACCTGCAAAAAACAACTATGATAAGTCAGACATCAACAATACCTGACCTATTTGTTTCTACACAAGTTTCCTTGAAATTCTCAGCCAACTGCTTTGAACAGCAACCAATTACTAAAGAATTAAAAGCCAAATAAACTTTGTTCTTCAAAACAGAAAAGATGCAAGAAATAGAGAAGCCAAAAGCACCCCAGACCACTTAGATAGATGACACATCTATGGTTGAACATGCAATATAATGAAATAGCAAGAGCACAAAAAAAATTTACGAAAAAAACCCCTTTTGCTCCATGCTACAAATTTTTTGATATCATTTCCTACATCCAACAAAGAACAAACCCACTAGATTTAACTCAACTTAGCAGTCTTAAAAACTTCAAAGCATCTGCAAATGCGGACCATGCAAGAGAGCACCGGTAAAATCATGTCAACTTAGCCAAACAATTAACACAGAAAAGAGTGGTACTAAAAATACCATCACAAGACAATACCAGGGTACAATGAACTTCCCTCTGACTCCAACTGCCAATATTAGCTACTAAATACTCCCGATTCACCACTATTCTTCTTGCAACCCCAATGATGACTGATCAGGGCAAGTAAAATAATGATTGATCTATCTCCACAAGTCAGTTATTTCAATTTTTCACCGAGTGAGTAATATTTGCTGCCGCAACTTCAAATTCCAGCAATAACAGAGATTTTACTAACATTTTATCTACTTCAAATAATATGAATAAATGGCAGAACACAAGCCAGTGAAATATAAAAACAGATGCCGAATAAAAAGGTGTAAGAGTCAAGACACAAATACAAGGCGTAAAAGGGAGAGGTGGAACCAAAAACAATGACAAAGACAACAGGATGACCTAGAAGTTATCCACCCAGTAGAAATCAGGAAAAATGAAACTTTAATTTCACCATCTTAGCTTTTAGGTGGTGTCATATAGGTCAGAAATGGGTGAGAGGCAATAANGCAATAACAGAGATTTTACTAACATTTTATCTACTTCAAATAATATGAATAAATGGTAGAACACAAGCCAGTGAAATATAAAAACAGATGCCGAATAAAAAGGTGTAAGAGTCGAGACACAAATACAAGGCGTAAAAGGGAGAGGTGGAACCAAAAACAATGACAAAGATAACAGGATGACCTAGAAGTTATCCACCCAGTAGAAATCAGGAAAAATGAAATTTTAATTTCACCATCTTAGCTTTTAGGTGGTGTCATATAGGTCAGAAATGGGTGAGAGGCACTAAGGTGCTGCCAAAGCATGTATCCCATCAAATGTAAGTCCTCTATTTTTATATATTCCGTTGTCTAGTAACATAAAAGTTAATCTAAAATTAAACTCCTGTAATTTTACCAACCAACAAAACTAACATTTTATCTACTTCAAATAATATGAATAAATGGCAGAACATAAGCCAGTGAAATATAAAAACAGATGCCAAAACCCGTAAATAAAAAGATACAAGAGTTGAGACAGAAATACAAGGCGTTAAAGGGAGAGGCTGGACCAAAAACAATGACAAAGATAACAGACTGATCTGGAAGTTATCCACCCAGTAGATATCAGGAAAAGTGAAACTATAATTTCACCATCTTAGCTTTTAGGTGGTGTCATATAGGTCAGAAATGGTTGAAAGGCACTAAGGTGCTGCCAAAGCATGTATACCATTGCATGTTAAGTCCTCTATTTTTATATATTCCGTTGTCTAGTAACACAAAAGTTAATCTAAAATTAAACTCCTGTAACAAAGTGCAAAACAAAAAACAACTATAAATGAATATAAAAATGATAAACTTCAAATATTCATTCTTGACCCTGTCCATTCATTGTCCAACAATAAAAACTAGGATATGGATGTCAGATTCTAAAACGTGACATTCTAGTCATGTATTGTGAATATCAAAATGCATAAATGTGTAGAACAAGCAAGCTGTCAAAAACTAAAGAGGATAACCAAAACAAATAACATCATTTGACCATCATAAACAAAAAATAAAAAGAGCATTTTCCTTGTAATACATGCCTTTCTTCCTGAGACATTCCAGAATGGATGCAGATTGAAGGGAAGTTGCATTCAACAAGTAACTTGTTCAGCTCAGCAGCTCTACTGACACTTTTGACAAAAATGACAACTTGATTGAAATCCAAGGCATCTAGGAGGTCATTCAGCTTGCGGTTCTTTTCCATCTCACTCAATTTTATGTAATGCTGACAAGAAGAGAAGTAACAGACGCAAAAGTGAGTGTGGACTATGAATAAAAACAACTGAGGCTAAACTGGAATAGCCAGATATACCTGCACCAGACCGTGAAGAGTCAGCTTGGCCTCATCATCCACGTAAATTTCCATTGGCTGAAAGGGAAAAAGGCCATCAGAGGGTCATAGACTAGCAACTACCAGTTGAATAGAAATCACAATTTACAACCCTATTCATCCTGATGGCATAAGGTAAGCAACAAATATCACCAAGGTGGTCAAGTATTCACCACATCACATTCAATATCTTATACGTTGAATGTGCCACAAAATTCAATAATCTCATAAAAGTAGGGGAGATGGTTAAAATCCTTCATAAAGGAAATATTTAGTCACAATGGTTCGACAACATACTCCTACTTTATAAAGACTAGTGGTCCTGCACACACGTTTACCCATGTGATCAATTTTAGAGTCAAAGGATAAATTATGAGGAACTATATGTAATTATAGAAAGTTAACATTTAAAAAAAAAAAGAGAGAGAGAGAAGGCGTAGTACAGGTATTTCAAATGTGGACACCAACCCCACCCCCCTTCTCTTCTCCCTTTATTAATAGTATAGATATTGATCAAAAAATTCTCTGAACTTGTGAATTTGAAATTGGAAAAAAAAAAAAAAAGAATCAAATTCTCCACGCGCCTTGAAAAATGGGATAATATCATCTACCAAGGGACAAGAAAAAGGAATGAGATTCTAGCATCACTGGCAAAGATTCCACCTAAATGTGAAATTAACAATAGCAAAGAGCCCCTAAATTTTATGTTACACAAATCAAACAACGAAGTATGCAGGTAACCACCAAACACTAACATCCACAGTATTGTGTATCCTTTCTTAATGATGCCAGATTAATCTGCGTCATTTCTGGGGAATACTGAAAACCATACTAGCCAAAAACATATTATTCATCAACCAAATGCAGCATATATAGTATAATATGCACAACACTGAGTGGACAGCTGACAGCATATCTCAAACCAGCCCAAGATTGCCAGTCACAGCCAGAAACCACCAAAACCACAGTGACTAATATGCACCATGATCTTACATTCCACATAAAGGAATAAATACCAAACTCGAAGAATATAGGTGACAGAATATTACATCTTGCATAAACTTCTTGCAAACTGGGCGAATCTCCTTGCTAAGTGTGGCTGAAAACATCATAACTTGCTTATCATGAGGGGTCATCTTAAAAATCTCCTGCACATCTCTCCTCATGTCTGAAGAACACAATCAAAAGCAACTTAAAGTCAAATGTTAAATTCTTATAAATAATTGTGTAATCCAGAAGAAAGCTGCAGGCTATGATTCTGAAACTACTAAGAAAAGAATACAAATAAATGCATACCCAGAGATTCAAGCATCTTATCACACTCATCAAGGATAAAATGCCTCACATTCTTCAATCCAAGGTCCTTATCTCTAGCAAGAGCCAATACTCTTCCAGGTGTTCCAACAACAATATGAGGGCATTCATTCTTCAATAAATCCTTGTGAATCTTGATATTGACACCACCATAGAAGACAGCAACCTTAATGTCAGGCAAGTATGTACTGAACCTCTCAAATTCGTGACAAATCTGTAAGGAATAAAGATCAATGACAAGTGAGGAATCAGAATAACACTACTAGAAATCTAACATGATTGGTTCAAAAAGTCTGCAATCTGCATGAATAAATGTCCGCATGCACCTGAATAGCACTGGGACACTTCAGAAAGGCACAAGATGAAATGATGCAAATGAAATACTACATTTTAATTACATACCTGGTAAGCTAGTTCCCTTGTATGGCAAAGGACAAGAGCAGCAACTTGCCCAGCCACTGGTTCAATCTGCTGCAAAGTAGATAGAACAAAAACAGCAGTTTTACCCATCCCTGACTTTGCTTGACAGATGACATCCATTCCCAGGATAGCTTGAGGTATGCACTCATGTTGCACTAATGAAGAAGCAAACAAAATCCGAGCGGACGAATCCTCAGTAAATAAAAAATGACCTTCCAGATCCTGTAATGCAAAGGTTTACCAAGCCAGTTTTCTGGCCGAAACATGAATATGGAAGTAGTTATTACCTGAAAAATGAAAACCAGAACATGTTAAAAAGGTGGCAGCATGACCAAACATTAATGAACAAAAAAAATTCCATATGAATGAACAAAAATTCTAGAGACTGCCCACATGTCCTTTTCAAGATTAAACACATGAATAGCTATCTTCCATCGCATGACCAAATCACAAACTAGAATAAGAATTCATGTGATAAAAACAAAAAAGAAAAGGAAAAAAGGATCATATGTTTTCATGGGGTTCCATATTAGCAGACATGCTCGCATTTCTATAGCCCTGTGACCCCATCCGNATCACAAACTAGAATAAGAATTCATGTGATAAAAACAAAAAAGAAAAGGAAAAAAGAATCATATGTTTTCATGGGGTTCCATATTAGCAGACATGCTCGCATTTCTATAGCCCTGTGACCCCATCCGAATCAAAGGCCTATTATACTAAACATTTCAAAGGCCACATTATACAAAATCAAATTGCATTACCTCAAAAGATTAAAAAGACATTGGTACCCGTAGTTATTCAAATTGGTACTCACTACTCACTACCCATTTTTCCAATCTATTCTCCAAACAGCCAAGAAGAATTTAACTTAGAGAGGGTATTACAGCATTGTGCAACTGATGGACGAAGACAATCAACAGTACTACTATGAGTACCGAACCACAAAAGTCTATATCATACCATTTGAATAACTACACACTAGATTATCTTGTACATTACTCACACACCCACACACAAAAAACACAAGATTAAATAAATAGCAATGCATTCCATATCTGAGATATATATTTGAAATGCTGCCCAAGGAAACTTCCACATGAATGCTGACTCCACCCCTTTACTTTCCTTCTCTTCTGTTGGTTCTCTGGTTTCTTGGTCAAATACTTTTTCCTTACTTTTTGAATTTTCAGATCAGGGTTTTAAGAGTGTGTTTGGCGGACAACTCAAAAGTCCATCCTGTAGATGCAAGCACTTCTCAATAAGATAAGATTGTTTGATGTCCAAAAAATTTTGGACTTACCGAAAGTGCATCTTCAAGATGCCCATTCTAGAGAAGTCTCCTAGGGAAGTAATTTTTAATTTCACCTTACTTTTCAAAATTAACCTTAATTTTACAGCATCATAGGCAAGTTACATATCTCAAATTAGAAGACAGAAAGCAAAAATGATATATCCTACTAGAACATTAATTGTAGATAGACATTGGTTCAAAAGCACTTCTAAAACACATTGTTACCAAACAGTTACGTATTTCAAAAGGTCTATTTTAAAAAGTCCATCTTAAGGATGAACTTTTACTTTGAGAAGTTACGCCAAATGCAACATAGGTGCCCAAGTCTTCCATTTAAATAACTTAACTAGTGTCCTTGACATAAATTTTCATTATAAATTATCAGAAAGGAAACACCTGCTGCAGTTACTAAAGATAAATTCCACATTGAAACTATCAAAACGCTAAAAAAAACAAGGTTCAAAGTTAAAACTTTGCTTCCTGAAGGATGTTCAATCCCGAATCAACAATGACTCAAAGACATTTTGCATTACTGAACCAGAAGAAAGTAAACACTTACTGAAGTTACTATACATAAATTCCACATTGAACTGTTAAAACTCTTAAATAACAAGTGTACAGTAAAAATTTTGCCTTCTGAAGGATGTTCAAATCCCGAATCAACAATGGCTCGAAGAAGCTCTGGCTTCAACAGGAAGTCTCTGAATCCGGAACTGTGAATTCCAACATAGCCCCTGTATTAACAGGAAAAAGAGTTCTTCAATACATTGCATCAACAAAAGGAACTTAAATTCACCATGATCAATGCAGAACAATAGAACTTGAGCAAAAGGACCTCTAACAAACATTTCACAGGTAGAAACCACCTTAGGATCAATGCATTTAAGAAACAAGAGAGCAGATCCAAGGTGTACACTCCTGTGTGGTATTGTAGGCTTGGGGTGGTGGCCTATATATGCTAGGTTGGGTGTGTGGAGGTGGAGGTGGAGGGTGAGGTTTTATAAGGACCTAAATTGAATAATCACTGTCTTACACAGAATTAAACTGAATTATCAATGTCATTATTATTCGTAAGCTGGGACAAAAAGAGAAGATATGTAGTCAGCACTAGATAGGTGTGCCCAAAAAAAACCATGCAGCTACTTTTAGACTTTTATGAGCAAGTCAAAGTAGCAAATCCAATAGAAGAAAGCCTCAACATAGTTCAAATGTAGAGCTTTCGTACCAGGAAATAGATGTAAAAAATAATCTCAAGGGTATGGAAACGTGTGTGCATGAATACAAGCATACAAAGGAAGCGAACACACACACAGATACAGTGAGAGAGAGAGAGAGAGCGTTATCCATATTTGGTTGCTAATTACATGTAGGAAAATAACAGGATAAAAATTTGAATCCAAAAATATTCCACTAAATGGGGCCCCAAAGAAATATCAACCAAGTAAACAATTCAAAGCTGCGATTCCACTCTATTGCACAAAAGTTTATTTGTCAAATGTTCNCGTACCAGGAAATAGATGTAAAAAATAATCTCAAGGGTATGGAAACGTGTGTGCATACAAAGGAAAGCGAACACACACACAGACACAGTGAGAGAGAGAGAGAGAGCGTTATCCATATTTGGTTGCTAATTACATGTAGGCAAATAACAGGATAAAAATTTGAATCCAAAACTATTCCACTAAATTGGGCCCCAAAGAAATATCAACCAAGTAAACAATTCAAAGCTGCGATTCCACTCTATTGCACAAAAGTTTATTTGTCAAATGTACNACATTGCATCAACAAAAGGAACTTAAATTCACCATGATCAATGCAGAACAATAGAACTTGAGCAAAAGGACCTCTAACAAACATTTCACAGGTAGAAACCACCTTAGGATCAATGCATTTAAGAAACAAGAGAGCAGATCCAAGGTGTACACTCCTGTGTGGTATTGTAGGCTTGGGGTGGTGGCCTATATATGCTAGGTTGGGTGTGTGGAGGTGGAGGTGGAGGGTGAGGTTTTATAAGGACCTAAATTGAATAATCACTGTCTTACACAGAATTAAACTGAATTATCAATGTCATTATTATTCGTAAGCTGGGACAAAAAGAGAAGATATGTAGTCAGCACTAGATAGGTGTGCCCAAAAAAAACCATGCAGCTACTTTTAGACTTTTATGAGCAAGTCAAAGTAGCAAATCCAATAGAAGAAAGCCTCAACATAGTTCAAATGTAGAGCTTTCGTACCAGGAAATAGATGTAAAAAATAATCTCAAGGGTATGGAAACGTGTGTGCATACAAAGGAAAGCGAACACACACACAGACACAGTGAGAGAGAGAGAGAGAGCGTTATCCATATTTGGTTGCTAATTACATGTAGGCAAATAACAGGATAAAAATTTGAATCCAAAACTATTCCACTAAATGGGGCCCCAAAGAAATATCAACCAAGTAAACAATTCAAAGCTGCGATTCCACTCTATTGCACAAAAGTTTATTTGTCAAATGTTCGACGAAAAATATCACAAATTTTCCAAAGATTAATTTTTTTTAATTTCCCTAGAGTTTCTAAGCAGTCCATATTTAGAAAGCAGACAACTAAAAAGGAATCGAAAAGGCAATAGGTAAACAGAAAAGGTAAATACTAAGAACAAACAAAAAACAAGTTCAAAGTGTTTGCCTTCGACTCTTAAAGGCCCAAAAACTCAAACTTCAGTTAATTAAGACGCTGTAAAGGTTAGTCTAGGGTTTCAAATCATTTTGCTTGATTTTCCTTCAGAATTTCCATACAACCAAACAGCAATATAAGATCGTAAAAACCCCAAAAAAATTACTTTTTGACGGAATCTCCGGTGGCTTTGCCGTTGATGGAGTCAGGGGCTTTATCGTCATCCTCCTCGTAGTCTAGAAGCTCTTCCTCGTAGGCTTCGTTGTCCCTTACTTCACCCATGATCCTATACCATAGGGAAAGAACGAATCTTTTAGTTCGAGCTCGCAAAAACTTTACTGACTACCTCAGTAGTGTTAGCAGACATTGAATTACTTATCTAGGATTTATGCCAGCATACCTTGAGCTTGAATGTTAGAGAGAGCGCCCGTGCTCAGGGTTCTGAGGCTGAGGCGTGGAAGAGAGAGAGAGAGAGAGAGAGAGAGAGCCCTCGGATCTAGGGTTATGGGAGAGGGGAGAGGGGAGAGGGGAGCGGGGAGCGGGAGCGGGAGCAGTGTTAGGGTTAAGACTGAAGAGAGATATAAGCAGTGAGATTCTGTGAAAATACTTTCTTACCCTTGGTAGGAGGCCTCCCATGTTGTTTTCATAATGACAATAATGTCCTCGGTACCGTCTCAATTTTACGACATTTCTCCACATTTGGACGATTGAGTCACGTTTTTATGTTAAGAGTTGATTGAAATTCGACAAAAAAATTTACACAACCCCGATAAAATGAAAATTTTCAGGTAAAAAAAAATTGCCATAGAGATAGATTATCGAGTTTCTTTGATAATTTAATTCTTCAAATGCCTTTTTTCTCGAGTTTTTTAAATATTAATGGCTCATCAATCAACAACATATGTCGCAATTATAAATTCAAAGTTCACTATCTAAAAAAAAGAATGATTCTCTTGATGACTTTTTCTTGTTGTTCTTGGTAAAAAAATCAATTAAATTTCTTGTAAAATCTTTTTAAGTTATGATATTATACAATACTATTCATAGTAATGTCCCCCCCCCCCGCGGCCGGAAGGTTGCTCTTGGGAAGGATTTAACATTTGGTGGCTCTTTTTTCACATCAAAAAAGCCCATCCCTAACCCTTATCATTCATCGTACCCATAAAGTTATACTAATAGGTGCATTCCATTGATAGCAATAGAAAGCGGTCTACAAAAAGTTATGCCTTCTCATTCACCTTAGGATTTTATGCCGTTACAATGTCATTTCTATTGCTTTCCCAAGTATGATCGACAACTAGTCGTGTAATTTCTTTTTTTAACACATACAGATTCGTTTATAATCCTAAAATTTATGTTATGTTGAAATCATGTCATACGTAGTCCATTCTAAATCGTGTTTAGTCCAATTCAAATCAAGACATTTATCGTTTAAACTTGTTAGTTCAGTTGTTATTGTATAAACTCATTCAAATTAAACTCATGTGCATTTCAATGACCCTTTTTGTTAAAAAAAAATAGTAGCAGAATTTATAGTTTGGTACAACAAAACCCAACTCAATAGCAAAATACAAGACAAAATTAAACGTACGAAAATCCATCCCCTACTTCATTGTTGATTCGGAGGCCGAAGCATCATAGGGTTGACGACAGTAATTAAACCCATACCACATGTTGCTGGGTATAAATACATCAAAATAGAAGGTAACAGGCTTCACATTATACCCATAAACCTCCACAGAGTATGGTCTCCAACCATCGTAGCCACTCCTGTAGAGATACAAATAGCATATCTGGTATGTACATGGTCCGAATACCTGAAACGTGTCTGTTGAACACCGTTCAAATGTTCTTCTAGAGGGATCATCTAGCCTCGGAGCATAAACCTAGGAATAAAACAAGATTTATTGCAGTTAATCGATTACCCATTTCTCATAAAGCCTCCTACACGAGGTAGTCATAATTTGAGAAGTAAATATTGACACTTAAAGCCCCATCCCTCCTCCTACAATGCCAATGCAAGAGTTCATCTAGTGTTACAAATACTATGGCTTTTTTTTTGTTTTTAATTACGGTCAGAAATGTATGAACTAATTTACGTTTATTTCAATTAATTCATCACTAGTTCAATAAAAAATAAGTCATTCATATTGAAACTAAAGAATTGCACGAGGATAAATCCCACATTTGTCAATCATAATTAGGGTTGTTGCTAGGATGAATTATAAATCCAGGACGAGCCATAAATCAAAGAACGAGCTGTAAATTCAGGTGAGAAATCTTTTAACTAGACCAAAAAGAGTTTGTTTTTTATGAATACTTTAATTCTAATATGAACAACCAACATTTGATTGGATCGGGAGGGAATTAATCGCATGTGCATAAACTAGCACATACACCTTAACCGTGGAACCAAAAAAAATAAAAATAAATGTTGTTGCAAAATTAAGGAGAATAAAAGATTAATAAATCTGTGAACAGAACCTGGTTGCCATGGGCATCGCCAAAGGAGAGGCTGATTTGATCACGCGTGTACCTGGGTGAAGAACAGCTTGTGGCTATTCTCACCGTATAAGAACAGCTCCTCGGATTGATCTACAAGCCAAAAAAGAAAGGTGCGGATAATAAAAACGCTTCCGACTAAAGGTTATCTCTCATCACTTTCTCTCTCTCTCTCTCACACACACAAACACATTTCATGCATTTGAATATCTTGAAATCTGTCTTTCCCTGCACATAATTTACTTACGAGTAAAGGGTATTTCTCATCACACACACATACAAACAAACACATTGCATGCATTTGAAAATGTTGAAATCTCTCTATCCCTAGACAAAAAAAAAACAAGAAAAGAAAAGAAAGACACACACATATATACTTCTGGAAAAAATTATCATACCTGGGTAATGTTGATCTTGAAGGATGAGTGAGGTTGAGGTCGTCGAACGATGGATCTTGCTTGTGCAGCGGTGAAGATGGCGGCGAGGAGGAGCAGAAAGTAAAATGCTTTGACCATTTTTTCTCCTAAACTCTCTTCGATTTCTTGCTGGAGATGGAAATGAACAGTCTGTCTCGGGCGTTTTCTTGCTAATGATGGTGGGTGGGAAGGTACTACACAACAATTTATTATCCATTATTAGTTAGCTGACAACAGAAATGATAACCCAGCATTTTTTTTTCAGGCCCAAGGGATTGGTTGAGTACATGTCACAAATAGGTAAAATTACATCAACATCCTTAAACATTCCCGGCTCGTTTAATAATTACCGTATTTTAGTGATTTAAAAAAAATTCGAGCTGTTAAAAATTAAAAAAAAATCATAAATAATAATTTTAGTAAATAATTTGTTAGTAAATACTAATTTATTATTTACTAATTCTTAAATTTAAAAAAAAATTCGAGCTTATTAATTTTTTTTTTTTACATATTAAAATTTAAGTTGATTTAAAACTTTATCCGAGTTGTTAGCACCGATTAAAATTATCTTTCAAGTCGATTAAAATTTATATTTTTTTACTTATTAAAATTTGTGTCAATTAAAATTAGATTTATTAAAATTTAAATCAATTAAAATTTATATATTTTTATATATTAAAATTTGAACTGATTAAAATTCAATGCGAATGAATTAAAATTTAATTTGAGTTGATTAAAAATAATTTTTAATTGGCTCAAACAAAATTTTAATTAGCCCAAATTCTAATAAGTAAAAATAATATAATTTTTAATTGACACAAATTTTAATATGTAAAAAAATAAATTTTAATTAGCTTGAGTCGAATTTTAATCGGTTCGAATTTAATTACGTAAAAAAATTAGAAAACAGAAGGGGTCTCATTGAAAATATACTTATCTAGAGGGGATCTCATTGAAAATATGTTTATCTAGAAGGGGTGTGAATATAATTTGCCCTCAAATATATCATTGACAATTTATTAAAATTACATTCTACTTAATATTTTAAATCTGATAGGGAATGACATTAAAAATTTAGAAACTAAAGAGCNATATAATTTTTAATTGACACAAATTTTAATATGTAAAAAAATAAATTTTAATTAACCTGAATCGAATTTTAATCGGTTCGAATTTAATTACGTAAAAAAATTAAAAAACAGAAAAGGTCTCATTGAAAATATACTTATCTAGAGGGGGTCTCATTGAAAATATGTTTATCTTGAAGGGGTGTGAATATAGTTTGTCCTCAAATATATCATGGACAATTTATTAAAATTACATTCTACTTAATATTTTAAATCTGATAGGGGATGACATTGAAAATTTAGAAACTAAAGAACATGTCTTTGAAGATATGGTAAACTTAAGGGGGTGTGGTTGAAATTTTTCCAAAAATCAAAAGAGAAATATAACACAGCCCTTAACGTTTCTATTGACATAGGAAATGGTTCAAATATGAAACAAATCACAACTTTGGTGAGTAATAAGCAACAGTAATGGTCCTAATGGAAACATTAGGCGTGCCATTCTCCTATCAAGATACAAAACAAAGCANCATGTCTTTGAAGATATGGTAAACTTAAGGGGGTGTGGTTGAAATTTTTCCAAAAATCAAAAGAGAAATATAACACAGCCCTTAACGTTTCTATTGACATAGGAAATGGTTCAAATATGAAACAAATCACAACTTTGGTGAGTAATAAGCTACAGTAATGGTCCTAAAGGAAACATTAGGCGTGCCATTCTCCTATCAAGATACAAAACAAAGCACCACTAAAATTATTGTGAGAAAATGTGATTCTAAAGTCATTGCATAGAAGCAGATAGATGCATAAAAGCACTGTTGTGACATAAAACATAGTACATGAATCTTGGCCTGACTGTCTTCGATAGATCCGAGACGGAGAGGAGCTTCCCAGTCAGAACTCTGTCGGAGGTTTCAACCTTACTAGTCTCTTGATTCTCTCTTTGTCGGTGTTCTCCAGCAATCCCTACAAAAAAATAGGCGACAACTGCATAAGCGAGTATTGACGTGGCATCATAATGTGAAATAAAAAACAGCAAAAACCATAGCTTCGAAAGAAGCATACATAATAGTGGCTGTCCTTGTGGCAAAATCTGAGTACTCAGTTTTGTTCAAAATCTGAGTACCCATTGTGGCAAATAAATAGCAAAACTACTAATTTATCAGACAAGCTTGCTTTTTCGGTGAAACAACAAGCATGCCCGTCACATTTGAAAATGCAAGTCCTACCTGTAATGAGTGCTGATCTCGGGTGCCACTAAGTCATGCATAGGTCCCTCACGATTTAAAAACTTGGATAGGAAGCTAACATTCAAATTCAATTTAGCAAAAAATGCTTCTTTGATGACAATGCCCAAGAAATAAATTGTTAAGAGCATTAAAAAGGTTCCTTTTTTTCCCCCTCAATTGACCATGTTCAACTCGAGACTGAACCATGTACTTCCTTTGGGAATGGAAGGGGATACCACTCAAGCTAACAGCTAAAGTTCTTCAATAATATTATACTTGTGAACTTGAAGCTTTAGACCCTCGCAGCATCAGATTGAGTCACACTCAGAAGAATGGGAGCTCATATTGATCAAAGAATGTTTCATCTAGAATACAGAACAAAAATCCATCCAAGGATGTTGATGCATCTCCTTACCTTCCATACAATCTCATCCAGACACAAGCAAATCTTTCCATACTTATCCAAGAAAAGGCGCTCCGTCGGAGGTTTCCCACATACATCCTTAACAGCTGAGGTTATAACGAAAATTGCTTCTGCCACTTGAGAGAAAATTATTAGCGACAAAAACACTAATATTGTGCAGTAAGTTACAAGAACAAGCATGCAGCATGTGACACCTATACACTTAATAGCATCTCCATCCTGTAATTTAACAACAGGACACGCGAAAATAGATAAAGGTGCCATCACAAAATCATTGATAGAAAATATCGTTTTTGATTTGTTGTGAGGAAAACAATGCCACCGCACCCCATACCAAATTGTTGCAATGGCAAGCCGTGCTAGACAGTAGAAGGACAAAATAGTCATATTCAGCACAGGCAGCCTCATGGGATGACTAGGGAATTTGGCAAATTAAGTGTAATGAGTTTCAAAAAGACAATGCAACAATGAGGCCAAGCTCAAGAGTTGCACAGTGAGCGTGCATCGAGTTGTCAGCATTGGTGAGTGAGACAGCTTTTCCCATCCTAGCGCCAATTCATCGCATAAGTGGAAAAAAAAATAATATACTTACAGGCAAGCTCATCATACTCATCCTTTCCAACAACAAAAATGCTGACATCCCCAAGCACCGTGTAAACAATATAAACTGATCTGGAAAGCAAACAATAGTTCAATGCAAGTGCAACTGGGATAAACATTTGAGTTTGAGAGAAAGCTGTAAATAGATTTTCTTTTTAGTGACACCTACACTATCACTTATATAAGCAGAAAGATAAGTCTTGCAGTATATTAATTCATCTTCCAATTCATGGATGGTATTTGGAACTAATTTCTTAATTTTGAGGCATCCCGCATCATTTTATGAGAAACTCGAACAGACAAGGGATTTTAGGCCCCTTGGACCTGAGTGCAAGCATGTCCAAGTTACTACTCACACATTGTGCTACAGCAAAACTAATTGCTTAATTGTGTCACAAGCTAGCATATATGCTTCTGATCCTCCACTGGAGATGCTAGACTTTCAAAAACACAAAAATTACAGTAAAAAATAGGTTTAGCACTCATGTAACCAAAACAGAGGAGGGAGATTACATACTTGTGGCAGGCAACGAGGAGCTCCTCATTTTTGACACCTTTAAGATTATCTGCTCCCAGCTTCACTAAGAAAGATCGCCAATGCAATCGTTCCTCAGCTGGGACACCATTAAAGCTGCAACAGAAAGATCTTCACTCAAAATTCAAACATGTAATGAATCCGAGAGAGAAATCAGGCTCACCAATCCTTTCCTATCACATGCTATCAGTCCCGTCATAAGGACAACAAATAAAAAAGATACATAAATGAAGCTGAAAGCAAACCGCAATCCAAAATATAAGTCTAACCCCATTGCATCGTGTACCGTGTAAAACCCTGTACCACGCACACGTGCTATTTAGGCCTTGCAATCTTAGGCATGACTTGAGAAACCGATACGAAAATAGTGTGTTTGGGTGTAAGCTTAATAGGACTGGGCTGTAAACGAATCAGTTTCGTGTTTAACCCGTTCCAACCCGGTTATAGTTGCAGTATAAAACTCCAAAAAATTAGATCAAAGACTCAGATGGTCCGAGTCAAAAACGCTCACAATTCCTTATCTCTCACGCCTCACAAATCCTAAATCCCTTAGATGTTGGTACTTGGTAGTAAGTAGTGAGTTATTGGTAGTGGTAACAAATGTGGGATGTTGAACGGTTTAGATGTGGGTTTTGAACTTTTTACCTTTAATTTAACATTGGCTTCTTACGGTTGTGTATTATTGGACTTAGTCACTCATGACTAAGCCATAGGTAAATGACTGCTCATCTTATCATCTAGGGTCCTTTATAATGTCCGTCCGTTTGAGATTGGATTCTTCTCCATTTCTGGTGGTTCATCTTCTTCGTTGTCTTAGCTAATTGACAAGATGCAATTCAGGTCTTTAGAGAGCAAACTCTACTAGCTTTCATTTTTTCCCCCCGGCAAGTACTAGCTTTCACTTTTGGGATAGAGATATGGCCTCGTTCACACCAGAATTATCATCAATCAACCGAACCCATTATCTTCAACATCTGAGGCAGAGATCTGCTATTCTTACATGCTACTATCTCTAATTCAACATTTCTCTTACTTTCTCTTTTTTAAATCAAATTCTCTCTATATACACATTTAAACTGGCACAGGAAGAAAAAGTGATTTTCTTTTCATCCTACCTAGAGTCACACTTAAACTTGTCGCATATGAATCCACAAATAGTATGGATCTTGGAATTCACACGTGGATTTGGAACTGGCAGAAATAATTGCAACTTGGGCTAACAAGGTCTGCAATTCCAATACCAAGCCATGAATTTTACACTCCCAAACGCAAGATCTACTCTCATTCTTTCTTTTCTAGCACATACACTTCTTCCTTTCTACATCCTCATTTCCACTACACTCCCAAACCGCATGTAACAGCATAATATTAAGACAAAATGAGAAATAAATTTCGCAATGCATCCCGACATTTTATCAAATCAAAATGAACTGAAACATAAATTTAGTTCATCGAAAAATTTAAAGACTAATCAAAACACTAAATATCAAGGATCGTCAAATTCAAACTAAATTACAAACGATTATGCTAAAAATACAATCGATCCACCAAAAACAGTTGAACATATCTAGTAATCAGTTACTGTGCGTATGAGTTTGAAAATGGATTGTGGAGATCAATTGCGTACCGTTCGACGAGGATGTTGCCCTCGGAATTGGCGAACAAGACCGCGAGCAGCATCTTCTTCTTCTTCTTCTTCTTGGCCTTCTGAATGACGAAACGAGCAGACGACGATCGGCTAAACGGAAAGATCAGAAGCTTTGGGCCGGGGGACCTTCGATTTAGAATTCGCTCGTCTTGAAAGTACCAAAATACCCTTCATCTCCTTTTGGTGGGCGCGTTTGGGTGGACCTGGGCTTGCTTCAGTTCGATAATGTTTAATAAAGCCCAATGGATATATAAGATGCGGTGAGTTTTAATGTCTTTTTTAGGGAAAATTCTACTCTTTTTTTTTTGTGGTCAAACCGATGACACGTAGACGCTCGCTCCGCTCATAAAACTCTGGTATCCCNGGATATATAAGATGCGGTGAGTTTTAATGTCTTTTTTAGGGAAAATTCTACTCTTTATTTTTGTTGTTCAACCGAAGACACGTAGACGCTCGCTCCGCTCATAAAACTGTGGTACCTCTTGAAAAAAATTCTACTTTGTACTTTGAAAAATTGTAATGTGTCACTTTCATTAGGTTCCATTACTTATTTCGTCTAATTAATGTGGTGGTTTCTAACAAAATAAGAAACAAATCCTAAAAAAATGCCACATTATAATAATTTTAATACAATAAGGGTGTAACCTGAAAAAATTAATTTTTAAAGGTACAAAATTANTGGTGGTTTCTAACAAAATAAGAAACAAATCCTAAAAAAATGCCACATTATAATAAATTTAATACAATAAGGGTGTAACCTGAAAAAATTAATTTTTAAAGGTACAAAATTAAAAATTTTAATTTTTTTGGGTGCAAAGTGTGATTCTCCCTTGGTTTTCTTCATTCATATAACCAACTATATCCTCACAGCTTGATGATCTTCCAATTTTTTTATTTTTATTTTTTCTGATCTTCCAATAATCATTTGGTTGAGAAGTATAATGAGTTGGGAGAAGTTGATCATATAGAAACTTTATGTACAATTTGATGTTTGTAAGTCTAGTATCTTTACAAGCTACTACCTTTTTAGTTCTCAGGTTTGGACTTCAACAGAAATTTGAAGTCTATTTGATATCTCATGAAATTTTTATGATTTATTCAAAATATTAATGTCTTCTCTTGATTCAACACATGTGCTTCCACTGTAGTGTCCGAGTAGATACTGTTACAGTACTTGCTTGAGTTGGAATGACAGACTTTGAGTGTTCTTGCAAGTAGAAAGTGGCTTGAGAATTATACAAAAATCAGTTTGATACCAACTATATCGCCATTAATAACTTCACTATGATTCAAAGCATCATCCTTTCAACCACTTTTCGGTTCGTTTTCACATCTATATTTAGATCATAATCAATTGTCTTTAGAAGCTGATGGAACTCTGCAGAATAACTTTGAATTTGTTGGACCCCTAGTTAGAAGAAAATGGTTCCACCTCATAAATGCACAGCCACTTATTTTGTAAACGAGATGATTAACAAACAAATCATGTATAAATGAAGTTAATTAAAAAAAATATAAAACGCGATTCGTGTATATACCTATTATACACAATTCATAAATGACACAAACCCGATATAACACGATTCGTTAGACACAAATTAATAAACGAATCGATTATGGGGGGAGTATTTTTTGACACAAACTTGCTAAGATCTGATACGAATCCACGTCACCCAACACAACTGAAAGTCCTAATTAGAAGGGATTGTTTGTTGAGCCAAAATTGACAGAAGACCCTTTCAACCATTCTTGTGAAAGATAAAGCTACCTAACTCCTTGTAGCCAATTAAATCTCCATCAAATGCCACCTTTTTTGTCACCTAACTACCATAAACTAATACTGTTTGTAACAAAGTTTTGCACTCTATGAACCTGCAAATTAAGATATATATAACTCTTGATTCTAAAAACGAAGAATTGATGATCATCAACCTACTACTTTGGCTATCCCCACTTCAAGTCGTTTTAGCCTTTATGATCTTGTTAGATGATGCAAATGCCTCAACCAAGAGCCAAATGAATATCCACCACATGGGTGTTGTTACCTCCAGAATTAGGAACTTTCATTTATATAGCTTGAAAGCTTCATAACATAGTTCCTTGTAGTATCAACTTCAAAGTACTGTATAACCTTTCCGAAAAACTTCAAGTGTATCATTTATTTATCAAATTCTCTTTCCAAGTTGTATGTACTTTTCCGAAAAACTCGCTCTACTTTTGTATGATGTTCATAGCAATTGATAGAATAGTTTGTTAACTTTGCTCACAAAGGAACAACCAATTTGGCGGTGTATTATTAGCAGGTACAAACGACAAATCTATTATATCGATAATCGATCAATATTCAATAGTGATAATCATAATCATATGCTTTCACTTTTTGAAACTATATATCTATCATCATGTGATTGTCTGTTTAATTTTGGCAAGGTTTTGATGTCTTAAGGAGTTTAAGGTGTCTTCATCAAAGTGTAATCATCATCGTTTGGCACCACAGTGATACCTACGTTCATATCAATGTACGGAGGTTAAGGATATTAATTTGTCGGAATAATTAATTTAGTATGCATCACACCGAAAGCTGCTTGTTTATATCAATATGACACATACACTTTCATGAAATGACATGACATGAGATTTGTCTAAAGTAATGTGCCATATGCTTGTATCTGTTCACATCAACTTTAATTTAGCATCAATTAATTCTTTTATGGCCGAATCATCGTTTGTTCCGAATTCTCTTATTCACTTTTGTAAGCGAGCTTCACATCATTATCGAAGTAATCAACATTATTTTGAAGTAGATTTGATGATCTACCAACCAAAAGACTTGTCTTTGTCAATAATCAACATTTGCTCCGCTATTTTATCCTTACGTCTTAATACTATCACTACTACTTTGTGGTGCAATGGTGAAGCATTTTTTTTTAACAGGAAATTATTACTATTAGTTAGGTAGTAGCTTCTTAGTTACAATCTGATAGTAAAAGAAACTTTAACTCGCTCTTAGTCTCAATCCGGTAATAAAAGAAACTTTAACACGTTAGGTGGGTTATAAACCTAGTTGCTAGGGAGACTTTGTTTCAAAAAGTTTGTTGAACCATTTGAAACCCTCCTACTCCTAAATTTCTTTGTTGAACCATTTGAAACACACCATAAAAGATGCCTCACTAGGTGTTCATCAATTTTTATTCCCATGAAACCAAATATTTTGTGGTGGGTTTGTAATGAGCATTCAAAAATGTTTTAAAATACAATTTTAGAGGCATGTATTTTATTAACTGAATCGCACGTATAAAATGANAGGTGTTCATCAATTTTTATTCCCATGAAACCAAATATTTTGTGGTGGGTTTGTAACGAGCATTCAAAAATGTTTTAAAATACAATTTTAGAGGCATGTATTTTATTAACTGAATCGCACGTATAAAATGAAAATGAGGTATTTACCACATTTGAAGCTAGAAATTAGAAGAAATGATCGATGTAAAAAAATGGAATTAACATTTGACACATTATTATATCGTGTATTGACGAGAGTATCTTGAATTGGTCCAATATTGTTTATTTAGGAGCATTGCCATGCAAATTGGAAATTGGATTCTTTACCTAATGTTCTTATTCCTTCTCATGGTTTTCAATTCTCAAATCAAAGGAGGTACGACGGTCTCTGATTAATATGTAAAAGTTTTATCGTCGCAGCTTGTCCTCGTGCCTTTTTCTTGTCCAATCATTGTTCTTTGATAATTCGTTGAGTTTATCTCTATAGCCAAATTAAATATAAGTAGAAATTAGGACAGTGTCCTTTTTACTAAACTTATAATAACTTGTTTGAGTCCATCAAGGGATTTTATTTGGTGATAAATTCATTTTTTATCTTACTAATAAATACTTAAGTCCATTTTTTTTAAATTCTAAAATACCATTAACAGTGTTATTATATTCAATTATAGAAATCTTAAAAATCTTGAAAATAGCTTTAAATTAATTTCTTCAATTAAAAATTATTATCCCTTAATTCACTCATAAATTAAAATTAAAATTTATATTCTCTCTTTCTTTCTCTCTTTATATTTATATATATATATATATATATATACCATTTTCACTAAATATTTTGGGGTCAGTCTGTTTCAAATTGAATGTCATCATTCATGATATATATGCACTTTGTGGACAAAAAAACCTCCTATGTTACTGTCTTATTTGCAGCTTCAAATTTTTTTTACTTTTTTTTTAATTGACCATGCTACTATTTTTTTCTCATGTTATTATTTTTTATTGAGCATGTTATTACTTTTTCAGTATTATTTTTTTAGATGCTGAAAAATTGGAGGCTTCTTCTTCTGGTTATGGTTTTGAATGCAACTATTTTTATTTTCAATTTTGTTCAATGTTTAATATTTTTTTTTTGTTGAGCATGTTACTGTTTTTGTTAAACATGTTATTATTTTTGTTGAATATGTTACTATTGTTATTTTTTTAAAATATTAATATTGAATGTTACTATTTTTTTTTTTGTGTTTAAATGATAACTTTTTTTTTTTGTATTGAATGTTATTATTTTTTATTTTTCATGTTATATATATAATCCTACCTTATATATAGATATAGATAGATATGAGATAAAAAATTAGTCAAACTTCTAAAATTTATAAGTTTTTAATTTTTAATTTTACTTCACTTCTAAACAAAATGGATAACTTCATAAAATTAACAAAAAACGAATTTCATAATAAATAAATTTTTTTATCGAATTTAAATCCAAATGAGTTAATTTATAGGAACCGCCCACTAAATTTTCTTAGATATAAGGCTATCTCTGTAATTGGTCTTTATCAAACATTTCCATGATAGAGAAGAAATCAACATCAGTACATGTTAAGAAACAGCTAGCCTGGTCACTCCAACGAGGCCTTCCACCCGACAGGCATATTGTCAAATGATTATTACCAAGATATCATGATAGACCAAATCATATGATGTTGGTGGCCAAAAAGTTAGATTTTAAATTAATAAATGTAGAATTAAAACACACTATCATGTCAGCGCTATATAATTTGATTATTTTTTGTCTTATTTTTTCTGTTGGGCTAACATTATATATTTCTAAAACAATAATGTTATTAGAATTTAAAAAATTGATTTAATTTATTGACCAAATGATATAGTTTCAGTGGAATCATTATATAAATATCAAGTTTTAATATTTGATAAAACTCACGATCAATTCAAGAGTTATAGTGAATTAAGTCATCTAATCTGATCAATAAAGTAGATCTTAATAGTATTACTCTTTTCGAAGTTCTAAAATGTGTGTGAATGAGAGAGAGAGATATCTAATGATCGTTCAAAGACAAGTTGCAAAGTTAAATGTCTTGAGTTCAAACTTAAATCTTGACACCAAGCTATGAGAGATTTATCTCTTATAAATATCTTAGTCCTAGTGTGAATAGTTTACTTTTGACTGGATCGAAGAGAAAATTAATCGAGATACAAATAAGTTAGATCCAAACCCAAATCAGATACTTTTATAATAAGCCCATCATATACATTACAAAACGTGTTCCAAAATTAAGCACAAATTAACAAATAAGCTTTTGCCATTGCAGAGGTTACACTACCATTTTGACTATTGAGGTACAAGGTTAATTAATTCCAGTTTAGGAGCTCCTCAATCATTTGCAGTGCAATCCTCTCTTCTTCGTTCATCCCATCTACGACTTCCCGGGGAATTTCCTTTTCCGAAGTCGCGATCACCGGAGTTTTTTCCGGTCTTTGCTCATATTTCTTCTGATCAAGCTCGACTGTCATGACCCAGTTTGAATCAGAACGTGCCCCGGCTCGCTTCTGCCACACCCCAATATGAGAGTTCTCGGTGTCAAGCCTGAGGCAAGTGAGAGAAGGAGAGGGAGATTTGCAACAGTATTTGCGAAGTTTTGCACTCAGAATAGCTCTGAAAGGCGATGGAGTACTAGTGTTGCCATTTGTGGTTTGGTTTGGGGCCACCGGGAAATTGGTTTTTGCATTCCGGCCACTCATCAGAATCGCCGCCTCGTCGTAGGCTCTCGCCGCCTCCTCGGCGGTTTCAAACGTCCCCAGCCACACCCTTCTCTTCCTACAACATGTACAGATAAAGACAGTGAATGAAGAGAAATATAAAAATCACATAATCAGATACACTACACACAATCACGTATATTAGTTATATGAACTAAAGGGAATTGGATGATACATATATTTTGGGTGTTCTCGTATAGTAAGTGTTAGTATATTTGGTAATATGAATCTTTTGGAGGATTACAATAAAGGGTGGCGAATTTCAGCAACCCAGGAACCCCAGTGGCGTTGTCTGACACCTCTGAACTTCTTTGATTGTACCATGTTTGTGAGAGAGAGAGAGAGAGAGAGAGAGCTAAGGATGCGGAAGTTGTGGAGTGGGGGATGGAAATATATAAGAGGTGATAATTAAACTGACAATGATCATCTGTAGGTGAACTTACTCCTTTGAGTAAGCATTTTCCTATTGTTTACCATTGTGGTCCTCTAGTACTCCGTACTCCTCACTGTATCCGGCCCACTATGGAAGGTTTTGGCTCTCTCTCTCCCTCTCCCTCTCCCTCTCTAAGAAACCATCGTTTTATTACAGTGGCATGCATCTGATGGCCTCTGATCGAACAGAATGAAAAAGTGGTTTCATATTTTAACCTTAAACAGTGACCTCACATGGTAGAGGCTGCCAAGTGAGAGATCTAGGAAAGCACAACATGCTTTATGCTATAGTTACAAATTTACAATTCTTGTGCATAAAACATGCGCGTTCAAGCTGTAAATTCTCTTTTGTATATTCAATTTCAATTTGTCGAATTGTAAACCATCCACCATAAATTGGTTGGCAGCTCCCTTATGCTTATAGGGTCATCTAAATTCATGCTCAGTAAGCTTCTTTCTAGAAAAATTATACCGAAAGAAAATTAACTTCAATTTTAGTGAGCATGATTAGGTCTGTCAATCGTATCGACTAAAATAGGTTTATGTTGGGTCTTAGCGGGTTCGTGTAAAAAAAATATTCTATACATACCTAAGTNGTAAATTCTCTTTTGTATATTCAATTTCAATTTGTCGAATTGTAAACCATCCACCATAAATTGGTTGGCAGCTCCCTTATGCTTATAGGGTCATCTAAATTCATGCTCAGTAAGCTTCTTTCTAGAAAAATTATACCGAAAGAAAATTAACTTCAATTTTAATGAGCATGATTAGGTTTGTCAATCGTATCGACTAAAATAGGTTTGTGTTGGGTCTTAGCGGGTTCGTGTAAAAAAAATATTCTATACATACCTAAATNAGAGAGAGCTAAGGATGCGGAAGTTGTGGAGTGGGGGATGGAAATATATAAGAGGTGATAATTAAACTGACAATGATCATCTGTAGGTGAACTTACTCCTTTGAGTAAGCATTTTCCTATTGTTTACCATTGTGGTCCTCTAGTACTCCGTACTCCTCACTGTATCCGGCCCACTATGGAAGGTTTTGGCTCTCTCTCTCCCTCTCCCTCTCCCTCTCTAAGAAACCATCGTTTTATTACAGTGGCATGCATCTGATGGCCTCTGATCGAACAGAATGAAAAAGTGGTTTCATATTTTAACCTTAAACAGTGACCTCACATGGTAGAGGCTGCCAAGTGAGAGATCTAGGAAAGCACAACATGCTTTATGCTATAGTTACAAATTTACAATTCTTGTGCATAAAACATGCGCGTTCAAGCTGTAAATTCTCTTTTGTATATTCAATTTCAATTTGTCGAATTGTAAACCATCCACCATAAATTGGTTGGCAGCTCCCTTATGCTTATAGGGTCATCTAAATTCATGCTCAGTAAGCTTCTTTCTAGAAAAATTATACCGAAAGAAAATTAACTTCAATTTTAGTGAGCATGATTAGGTCTGTCAATCGTATCGACTAAAATAGGTTTATGTTGGGTCTTAGCGGGTTCGTGTAAAAAAAATATTCTATACATACCTAAGTCGTTTATTAATTTGTGTCTAACGAATCGTGCTATATCAGATTCGTATTATGTATAATCGACATATAAAAGAGCCGTATATTTGTTTAAATTAATTTCACTTATACTCGATTTGATTCATTATTAATCGTGTCGTGTCGGGGTCCATTCATTTACAAAACAGATGACTTAAAGAAGATACAAATTATATAATTTTGTGTCGTGTTAAAAAACCGTGTCATATTTTGACACCCATGCGTTTCTAGTGGCAGCATTAGATTGGCCATTTTGAATGAGTGCCTAGCCTTGTATTTCAAATATCAGCATTTATTTTTTACCCCTCTGAATAAAAAGGAAAAATAATCATTTTAACTAAAGAAATTAATCAGAGATGCAAAAGAATCATTTACTTTATATTTCAGAAGAATCATTTTGCTTGTTAATTGTCCACACAGGAACTCAAGGTACGTTTGAACTCCCATGCATATATGTCAACTCAGTCTCACATTAATATCATTCTCCATAAAATTGCAATAACGAATATGATCGAGCTACCCCTCCCACAACAATTTAAGGCACCTCCTCCCGGACCTACTGTCTCCAGGTAGTATCATGTGATGAAACTCAAGAAAAAAAAAATTGTTTATTTCTTGGAGTTTTCAAAAAAAATTTTTTTTTTTTGTTCAATAATTAGGGGTGTCCGAACCAACTTATATGCACCTCAACTAATATTCTTCTCGTTTCGATGAAAGACAAGTTATCTTTCAACTATTCATGGCATGACACAACATGCTGGGATTATTTTGTTTAGAATATCTTCAACAATAAATGTTATAATTAACTTGTAGGGTAGAGTCTTTATATGGATAGTGATTTAATTTGTAATATATTAACACAATTTTAATTCATTTTCTATTCGATGTGAAATTTTGATCTTAATTTCTTTTTTTTTCTCTCTCTCTCTAGAGATTCCAAGCTCGTAAATAAATTGCAAGCTAATTTATTTATTATTTTATTTTATTAATTCATTTTCTATTCAAAATCTATGAAATTGTTTACAATTTATCTTGAATTCGAATATCGATAATATTTTAGATTCAGGTCATGAGAGATTTATCTCTAAAAAAATGTTATTTGGACTTAAAAATTTGACAAAATTTACTGACTTAATGATGTGATTTTATTGAAACTATTGGATAAACATCAAATTTTAATGTTTGATGAAACTAAAAGTTAATCCAAAGGTCATAGTGAATTAGTTCAATAAATTAGGTTTTAATAGCATTATTTTATCCCTAATAAACATCTTATCCTAATATAAATGGTTTATCTTTGACTATAACAAAAAAAATTTAGTTAAAATACGATAAACTCATTCAAATATTCCGCACTAATAAAAAAAAAATTAAAAAGAACTTCCCGTCCTTTGAAGGTAGGCTAGCTAGCAATGACGGTGGGCAGTACATATCAATATAAAAGCCATAGTACTTCAGAAAGTAACAGTCGGGATCATTCCAATCACTTAACCTTCCCAAAATGAATAAAAAGGTACTTGTATTTGGAAATAATTAGGAAAATTTAGATTTCGGTTCCGGACTTAAGTCCATCAAAAAAATTTATTTATTTTTGAGTTCTTCTGGCAATTTTATTATACTATCTCTTTCCTTTAAAAATGAAATAAAACTAAAAATTAAAAATTCTTAAATATTAAGAGTTTGACTAATATTAAAATCTTTTCTCTCCCATATCTATCTATATCTATATATCTATATATAGTAATATTAAAAATAAAATATAATAACACTTAAATACAAAAAAAAGTTATCATTTGGACACAAAAAATAATGCATTTAAACACAAAAAAATAATAATATTTAACCATAAAAAAATTGAAACATTCAATATTAATATTTTTAAAAAATAACAATAGTAACATGTTCAACAAAAATATTAACATGTTCAATAAAAATAGTAATATATTTAACAAAAACTGTAACATACTTAACAATAATTATTTCTCTCAAATTCAAACACAAAAAATAATATTATTCAAATACAAAAAATAATAACATTGAATATTAATATTTAAGAAAATAATAGTAGTAACATGCTTAACAAAAACAATAACATACTCAAAAATAATAGTAATATGAACAGTAACATACTCAACAAAAGCAGTAATATGAACATTAACATAATTAAAAAAATAGTAACATGAATTTGAATTGTATTATTCAAATTCATAGTAACTTTTTTTAGTATTTAAATGTTACTATTTTATATATATATATATATATATAGATAGATAAGAGAGAGAAAAAATTTTAATGTTAGTCAAACTTTTAACCTATATATGAATATAAATAGATATGAAAAAAAAAAAGATTAACTTCCTTTTAATAAAGGGTATTTTTGAGATTAAAAAAAAATAGACTTAAGTCATTTCATATAATTTTAATTATGGATTTAACCCTTTATAAATTTCCTTGCAGGACTTATATCTAAACAAGTACATCTAGGGGAGTAACTTCCAATTTTCACAAATAATTACTATCAACAGTAAGCTCCATATATATACTTCACCCAAAAAAAAAAAAAAAGCTGCATATATATAAGTTGCATGCATGGTATATATGAGCTTCTCTTACTGCTTCATTACGAACTTGAAGTGTCCAAATGTATTATTGGTTATTTGAATAAATTATTATCAGTATTCAAAGTTCAATTTTTATAAATATCTCTTTAATTTATCTGCCAAAAAAAAAAAAAAAACTGGTATTTCAAGAGCATCAAAACATAAAAGATAAGTTTCTCCGGGTAGGAGTTAAAGGACTGCCTAATCTAAATGATGAACTTGATCATATCGTGTTTCGTTTAGCCACGCAAGATTTGCTTCTTTGTACATAAAATAGAATTTGGTAGTTGGTTTGTTCGTCCCCTGTGCATGTGGGTGTGGGACAACTCAACCAGTCTTAACACTCTTTCCTTAATTCGACTGTGTTAGTTAAGATAAGGTCAAGGAAGTAAATACCTAATTCTCCCCTAATCTATATAATAAAGTAATTTATAATTCAAATTTTAAAAATAAACAAAATGACTTTTACTTTTCACAATTTAAATTACTTTAAATTTTACTTTAAAGTTAATATAACAGCTAATATTAACAATCTAAATTTAATAAAAAAAAATAAACTTCTAAGGGTGTGTTTGAAGTGATTTTTTAAAAATAATTTTAAAAAATTTTCTCATAAGTATTTTAAAAAAAAAATAGTGTTTGAAACCATCCCACCACTACCTTTTACCACCACCGTCGCCGCTACCTACCACCACCACTGTCATCGCTGTTGTCGCCGCCACCTCCCCCACCACCA